AAGCCGTTTCTGTGTCTTATGTCAGTGGTTTAGGAACTTGGATTATTATTGCTTTTATGGATACTCAGTTTATAATTCAGGTTGTTATACACTTGATGCTTCATCTGTAATGTACTGCCTACTAGATATCAGCTTTACAGCTCTTGTTTGTGATTTCTTTGTTTTACCTGAAAGTTCTCATGCTCCAATAAGTTTATTCTATAGGTAGGTGTGACATGCAGGGTAAAAGCGCTTTGAGTAGACAGAAGACTAGAAAAGCAATATACAAGCACACACGTTTATTAACTATTTACTCCTGCAAAAAAAAAAAAAAAAGATGTAGGTACACAAAATCAATGACAGTGCAGGGAAATAATGTTAGGAAAAGATATCCTGGTGTCAGTACAAATGTCAAATTTGAGCTTCTGGGGAACACAACAAACACATGAATGCTAGAATTACTGGAAACCCTCATGTCTAATTTCTTAGAAACATTAACAGATTTTTATGAGCATAACTGGGAGATACTGACATATTGAATCCACATAATAAATCTTAATAAACACCTGCTTTACAGACCGTTTCGCTGGTAACATCTGGTCATCTTTTTTTAAAACTTGCTTGGCTTGTAAAACTGTTTTTTAGATGATTTGTTGATTTCCCATCTACTGATGCTATGAGATCTGCCCTATCCTCATGTTCTGCATCGGTTTCTCTTATATAAACCAATCTAATTCACTGTTATATCATAAAACGCCTGAGAAACAGACAAGTCTTTGGGGTCACAGACAATCATATGTAATCATTCTAGCTATATTTATACTTCCAATTTCCCCAGGAGAGATTTGACAATTTAGACAACATCATGTGAGCTTAATACCCAGAAGCTCTAAAGCTCATGCATTAAGGGACCAGTTATCTCGTCTTTTAGAGTTTCTTCATTTCTGGCACTCGTTGTGTGGTCTTCTGTTACAACCTCCGTCCATCTGGTGCTGTTAGCGCTGCTCACTTGCTGGGGGTGCAACAAACCAGAGAAGTAGACGAGCGCGGATGATCACTGAGCGTTAAAGCACAGTGGGAAGTCCAGACTAGACCAGTCGATCAGAGGGTATCAGCTTACAGCTTCTCTGCAGGAAGCTGCATAATGCTGTAACACTGCTGATTTGGTTTCTTCCTCCCTGCCTGTCTGGCTTCCTCGCTGGGTTCATGTACTGTGTGTGTGTGTGTGTGTGTGTGTGTGTGTGTGTTCATGTGTGTGTCCTCGGTTGGCAGAACAGAAGTAGAAGAGGTGTCAGTCACACTAAGATGTATAGGTGGCTTCTTTCAAGTTCTCAGATAAACGACAAGAAGATAAAACTAAAAGGAAGCCAGAAGAGTGTTGGTGTGTGTGTGTGTTAGGTAAGAGGCAGCAGATTAAGAGAGTAAGGGCTCATGTTGCTTAGGTGTGCGTTTGTGTGAATGAGAGAAAGAGAGCGAGGCTTGGACAGAGAGGGAGAGGATATTGTTGAGGTAGTCAAACTCAAGTCTCATGATGTTTTGAAGCAAGATGGAGAGAGAGTGACAGACAGACAGAAAGAAAGGGAAAAAAAAAAACCCTGTCTCAACGGGAAGATTTATGCGTCATGCATCAAATTAATCCTTAAATCTTTACAACAGTTTTATTTTTTTATGCAATTTTCTTTCAGCTTTTACTCTCTCTCCTACAAAGCCTCTTCTGTATGTGCGAGTTGTTTACTCTACCCATTTTGTACACTAGAATGAAGAAGGAAACATTAATAATGTATAAGGAGGCCCCTTTAGACTTGCTGTCTGTCCACATCTGTGGAAACACACATGCATGCTCACACACACACACACCCACACACACACACACACACACACAAAATTAGAAATACACACAGAAAGAGGGAGAAGTAATCTGCTCGTGCCCGAGGGAGGTGTCTAACAAAGATGCGGGTGGTCAGGGTCTGTTCTAAGTGCTGCTGGGAAATGGACTGCCGGGCTTCCAATCAGTCATGTGACCTCAAGCTAACGTCATGTGACCACAGAGTCATGTGATCATAATAGAAGAGAGGGTGAGCACATGCGTGGACATTTCTGCGTTGCTAATGGGCCATCATCAGTGAAGTGGTTTCTGCAGGATGAAGGGATAAGCTCTTACACATGCACACAACACACACACACACACATACACACATTAATGCACTTAGAAACACACTAAGGCTTTTAGACTTTCTCTGTGTGTGTGTCTGTAAGTCATATGATATAGTTGAGGCCCTGGGTTATACAACATGACAATATGAGATCATCGTCATACTAATCTCTGAAGCAGCTCACAAGGGTTCCTCAGAGATTTACAACATTTCAAAAGACTTGAACACCGTGACCTGACGTGGCAGAATCTTCAGTCTGTGGTTGATTGGTTAAGTCTGGATTATAGAGTAGGAATGCTACCTGATGATTAAATGATCCCTCAGGTTATATTAGACCTCTGGATAGTACCACCATATCCCACAATTCTTTTGGTTTGGCGCCTCTGTTTTATTAAACACCGTGAATCATTCATGCTGAGCTTCTGCTTTGTCTCGGATTGCTTGCACTAAAATACTTCAAGCTTTTTTTCTCCTTAATGTTTATTTCTTATTAAAATTAATAACCTGAGGCATTGATTAACAACATTTAACTGTGAGTGTGAACGTGATTAAAAAACTTCAGATTTTGTCAATGAAAACAAGGTTCTCCTCATTGGTCCTGTTTTTTTTTTTTTATAGCACTGGTTGCCATGGTGATAATCCTGATAATATTCCCATGAGTAGGTGTCTAACCTCCAACGTCTGATCTTGCATCACCTTAAGGATCCTGTTGCTTCTCTAAATGCGCCTCAAATATAAATATAACATTTCTTGTTGCTTCTTCCTGTCGTCTCATTCTGTTTGATTCAAAGAGTCTGTCATTTATATTTCAGCAAACACACTCCAGCTCCCCCCTCTGTATGTGTCTGCAGACCAGACTATAATTACATCCTCTAAAAGGGTCACAGCATTATGAAACAGTTTAAATGTGTGTCGCGATTTACTCTCAAAACACAAATCTCTATTTTTTTTCAGGTTATTTTGGGACATGTCTTACACATTCATGTTTTAAACCCTGAAACCTACATGTAACTGCAGATGATCCTGTGAAGACAGGTCATTAATTAAGAGTCAAGGAGGAAGTGGGAACCATATTTGGGCTTACATCTTCTGAGAATTCAGGTTTAGCACTTTATTTTGTCATCCTCAGCCAGCCCAGATTTAGTTTATTTCGGGGCCGGTGATGTGCTGAATGTGTCAGCTACAGTAAGACACAGAGCTGGTGAAGCAACTAGAAACTTCACTTTGCAAACAACCATATATACACACATTCTTATTCAAACCTATAGCTAACAAGTGTTAACTAAGCTATTTGTTGAGGTAGGGCGATGAGTGATTCCATTTTTAGTTTTTCTATTACATAATAAACTGACATGAAAACAAACACAGGCTAGACATGGCTGAATGCATGACTCCTTTTACGCACATGCTCATGGACAAATGGCCACACACTCAGACTTCTTTACAAGATCTGAACCGCCCACTCTGCCCTTTGCGTGCATGTTTATGGAAGTATTAGGGTGAGAGCTGGAATGCCCGTTAAACTTAGTGTGTTGGACTTTTCTTAGAATGTCAATCGTAACTCTCACTGGGTGGCTACGACCGCTACTGTTAAAAAAAAAAAAAAAACACACACAGTTTAAGCCTGATGCCAGTGTTGTGGAGTACAGTTGACATCCAGACATTTAAACTGTGAAGGACAGAAGAAGTAGGAGCTGATACCTGAGGGAAGAATCGTTTGTGTCTGTTGGTGGGGAGCCAGTGAGGGATCATGTTGCTTCTCAGAGAAAACACATGATCCCTGACTTAGAGAAAAGACATGAAAATACATCATCCTCAAAGTGTCCTATGTTATGGTCCTCTTTGTCTTCCTTTGTTCTCCTATTTCCTTAAAAAAAAAAACAATTAGAGCTGAAATACAGGCCAATTAAAAATTGTTTAATAGACCTATTTATCAGCAACAAATTAAGCAAATATACGAAACAATTTTTTAAACAAATAAACTTCATATCAATCTGTCAAGGCAAGAATAGTATCTGCAGATACAAATCAAGATTGCAGATTCAAACATTTAGTCTCCAGTGAGCACATATTTCATTACTGACTTAATTGCATGAAAGAAAATTAGTAAATGTCGGGTTACCATTTAGACTTTTTCTTTCCATTTTTTTTTCAGAGCATACATTGAATTTCACACTCTAATCTCTACATACTCTACAGTCCTTTCTTTAAATAGAGAGGTGTTTCAGACATGGCACAATAATACCAGAGGAGAAACAAGGATGAACAAACTCAGAAACATCTCACTTAATTTTGGCTCTTTGTTTTAGCAGAGTTAGTTTATTTATAAAATGCTTTTATTAAAGTATCACAAGGTACGGCTCAGAGAGATAGAGCATGCAGTCTAGTGATAAAAAGAAGCCACATCAAATATCGGCCTCAGGCTCTAATGGATGTGTGTGGCGTCTTTGAGCAAAGATGAAAGGACGGTCTACAGTTTTAATCCTCATCCTCCTGTACTGCTGTTTTTATGTCATCTAGAAGCATTTTCTAAAAGTCTGATTTGATTTGTCAGCTGCATTTGTATTTTATAGACATGTTAAGATGTTGTCAGACCATGGATGTGTGTTTTCAAAGTGCTGGATATTTCTCTATTCCTTGCTTTATCCCCTTCCTCTCTTGTTTTGGAACCTCAGTTAATGAGCTCTCCTTTCCTACTTAATGTGATTGTAATCACTCCCACCATTTAAGTACTATTATGTATTTGTTCTATGAATAGAACATGTTTGTGTTTCGCTAAATACTTCTTGTGTGATTATTGCAGATGAACAATGTGGCCCGTGTTGTGTTTAATGACTAATAATCGTCCTTTTCTGTCCGTGGTTGTAGGATCGCAAGCTGTCCAAGTCGGAGCGTCAACGCTTCAAAGAGGAAGCGGGGATGTTGAACGGTCTCCAGCATCCTAACATTGTCCGCTTCTATGACTCCTGGGAGGGACCGTGCAAAGGAAAGAAATGTATTGTTCTGGTCACCGAGCTCATGACATCAGGCACACTGAAAACGTGAGTACATGACAGATGAAATGATTTTTCAAGATGTTCATTTTCGGACCTTCAGGATGGGGGGGAAATAATTTGTCGTCTAAAAAGTGGTAGTGTCTTTTTGGTGTTGTTTTTCTGCTGTTAGGGTAAGGCCAGTGTAAAAATGTCAAAGCTGGTTTGATTTTAAGCTAACCACAGGATGGGACTGTAAGCGTCTTCCACTCCTCTTTCCTCCTCGGCCACAATCTGATCTTCTTTATGTTTCCTGCTTTGTCTGAGAAGAACTTTTCACACAAACACTGTTGACTGCTAGTCCATCCGTACAACCACAATAAGGTACTTATGTGTTATTATTGCTTGAAGTAATACAATGTAACTTGGGTTAGGCTCTGTAATGCTACAGGCACAGTGTGCTGATGTGGGCTACTTTTGAATATGTCATAGTGACAGATGCAGGTGGAGTCTGTTTGTGTAAAATCCAACCGGTTGAAGCTCCTACACCGGACCAGACAAGGAAAACTGGAACGACTACTCCAGCTCATTAGGAAACCAACCAGAACAATGAACATAAAGCTGTTTATGTGCAACTCTTGGAAAAACAAAAGTCACTGCGATTACTTCAACAGAAAGGAACACCAATATGAAAAGTGTTTGGGTTGATAAAGATGTGGTCATAACATGCATGGAAAACATGTTCATGCTTATCTCGCCCCAAAGGAAAAAAGAAACGAGGGTGGTGTTCATTTTGTGCAACACTTTAGTGCACATCAACAACACATGCACACACTTTAAGTAGAGGCTCTTGACCACCTCTTTACCCCTTTGCTTCTGAAAAGCACTTTCAGTATAGATGATGACTCACCTCCAGTTTTTGTTAAAGAAAACGCACACACTTATGTTGCCATTATTCATGTCAAGCCAATATGCAGTTTTCCTTCATTTTCAGCTGTTAAAATGGTCTTTCAGTGCCGTAAGCACCTCACATCCAAGCAGGTGATCAGCACTGAGTGCATGTGTTAGTGGGTCAGCTTGTGTGTCTCGCTCATTACATGTGACTGACTGAGGGCCTGCTTATGTGTGTATGTAACGTCAGCAACATCAAGGTGTTGTCTTTTATTTAAGCATTAAATACACAGGCCAACCTTCTCTGTGTGTGTGTGTGTGTGTGTGTGTGTGTGTGTGTGTGTGTGTTAATCAGGTTGTGCTGTACGTGTGTGTGTTTGCATGTCGATAGCAGGGGCGTCTGTAAGTGGACAACCGGTGAATCTGTGGCAGTCATTGTCCATGCTGTCACCGCACGCACAGCAGTCTTTACAGAGTCGATGTGTGCCGGTCTGTGAATGTGATTGTTGAGCTCCTGATACAATGAGAGGCTACAGTAAATGTCCGGCATGCGGCGCACGGCGTGTCCCGTGCAGCATGACGTGGGGACATGGGCCCACCTGCCAGCTGCTGCTTCTGCTGCAGATTCCTCTCATTCCTGACAGAGAGACCGACAGATAGACAGAGGGGGGGACCAAATGAGGCTGTGGGGAGGCAGATGAACAACCCGTCTGATGGTTATTATCAAATAGTTTAAGGAAGACAGAAGAGAGAAAGTCGTATTGAAAATCCGCCGTACAGGCAGACACGTAGTCAGATGAAATACATGGATAGATAAATCATGTTGAAAGCAGGTAGACAGAGACGCTAGTAAACATATGAACCACCTGTGACCACATAGTGGGAGTATAAATCCATCAGTACTACCAAGGCCACTAGCGCCCTCCACTGGACAGAACAAGCATTATAAATTAGTTTTAAAATACAGTACGGAGCAGACACTTTTCATCCTGCTTCTGTCTTCATTTTGAAAGTGAAATGTGTAGCACAAAAAAAGTCGTATTCAAAACCTTTATTTTATTTTCAGCTTACTGACTGTGTCAAAAGGGAGGGGGGTACAGGAAATATAAATAACTAAGTCTGGAATGAAACGTGTGATTTAAATATTTAAATGAGTCATGAGAATAAGAGCTAGATCCAAAACTTGCCTTGACATCAGTTTTAATAATGAAGGAATACAAAGAAATCTCTTCATTTTTCTTGTTTCCTAAATTAAAGCTGTATTTTCCCCAAAAGAATATGCAAATATTCAACAAGGTGATCAGCAATAAACTTGAACGATCCATTTTTCAGTTGTATAATTTACTCCTTTACTTGAAAGTTGTAAATATCTAGGAAAGAAATTCTGTCAAAAGTTGCACACATTGTAAAGTTTGTCCAGTGCATGCATGGACATATATGCACAGGGTCAAGGCTGCAGGGGTTTGGCTGTCATCCAGATGAAGCCTGTAAAAGGAGACAGGACTGTGTTGTAGGCTGAAGAGGTGGAAAAAATGAAAGGGAGATGGCGAGAGGGAGGACTGATAGGGAGAGAGGGAGACGGTGAGGATGGAAACACTGACCAGCGTGGGCTCAGGGTATTAGGGGCCCCTTATCTATGTATGTGTGTGAGAGAGACAAAGAGACATAGAGGCATGTGATTGTACCTTCTCTCCTGTGTGTCTGTGTATAAATTCTTGCCACTCACGCTTGAATGTGTACTGTATGTTCTCTGTATTCATACTTCCATACATGTGTATTTAGGTTTGTGTGTTGAAAAGCGAGCACGGTTGAGTGACTGTGTGTAGGAGCAATGCTTTGTGCAGCGTCACTCCAACATCCCATGCCGCAGGGCGAGGTAGAGGAGGCTGTAAGGTAAAGAAATTAAAGGAAGAGGGGGAGAAGGAGGGAACGAGATCGCTGTTTGATATGAGTTACCTGAGAATGAGATGTGGAGTGTGACATTACCTTTGGCATTACAGAAAGGGAGTCATTTTTTTAATCACAACACATGATGCTTCAATTTCACAGGTATGCATTCTGTGATATGTTCCCTTAGAAAGTCTCCATTAGATTTTTTTTAAATCATAATGTGTCCTGAAGGAAAACTCCCAGTTAGAATATGTGAATCCACCCAGATAGTTCTGCCTGATAAAGTCTTCAGTGAAAAAAACAGCGACTTGGTCATTTCTCTGTGAACTGAAGAATTTTAGAAAGAGTTTTATTGTTGAATCATTCATTTTGATTTGCATTTCCATTTCTCCCAATTAATTTTCTTGTCAAATTAGAAATGGGTAGTCACCTTCTTGAATATTGTTATTGTCGGTGCATTGCTTCATGTAAGTGATATATGGCAACAGCTGCAGCTGCATCCCTTTCTGAAGAATAGAAAGATTTGACACCTCATTTTCTCCAGTCAGTGAATTATAATCTGGGATGAAGTTTTGTTTTGCTTGTACATTCTTGTGTGTGCCACAGCAAAACTTTCATTCAGCATATATAACAAATAAGAGGAAGCAAGTTCCACTTTCTTATTTGCTACATTTAAAAGAGCAAATTGAAGACGTATATTTGGGCTTTAAGAACTTTGATCAGCTTTTCATTGTTTTCAACTATGACTAACTGGGATTTTACATGTAACTCAGAAGAAGAACAAGTTCTTTATATGATACTGCAGACTGAGTCAAGGCTGGTTATGTGAGCAGCTCTCTATTAAGTGAAGACAGATCTACAGTTGCTTCAGTGTTAACACTCATGATCCCTGCATACAGTAAGTGGAGCTGTGATGCTAAAGCCAGACTCAACGATGCCGCTGTGCACAGGCTCGACGGTCTGGACTTGGAGAGCATTGCTGGTGGAGATAAGATCCTTTGCAGGATCCCCGAGCGGTTCAGGCAGCTGCCTTTTATTCATCAGCAACACTATTCAGATTTAATATGACAAAATGAAAGAATTGCATTAAAACATAAAGGGGTGAGTTGATGTTCAGCTCAGAGAATTAAAGTGCTTAAAAGATTAAACAACAAGAAACAATCTTATTCTGACGGCTGTAATGCAGTCACATTTGCACACCAGCTGAACAAATCTAAAGATTATTTTGGAGAAGTTGATCTCATCATCTGGATAATGGAAGGATGTACTTAAAGGGAACACACTATGCTAACTCTGCCTGTGTTTTACTCTGCGCTTGAATACAGCTAAAGAGCTGAATAGAAATATGCAGACTCGAGCGTAATGTGAATGAGCTCATCAAGAGTGAGTGAGAGTGAGATTGATTTAAAATAAGTTCTCGAAGCGCTTTAAAAGAATTATGACCGAATCCCTTTTCGTCTAATGGTTGCATCTAATTTAATCCATAAAGATAAAACTGCCAGTTAAATGACTGAGAGTGAAAGAGACGTTCAGTCAGTCACATACTTGTATGCAGCGAAACAAAACATACTCCACACAGTTATGGACCTGGGGTCACTGGGTTTCCTCCCACATTCCAGAGTGGGACTAACCAGGTGGACTAGAGCTCCTCATCAGCCACAGGTGTGGATCTGTGTGTTGATCTGTGTGTGACCTGTCCAGGAGGGTCTCACTGATTTCAAATCCTGTGTTATGCTGGGAAATGTTCCAAACTCATAACTCTGGACAGTGAAGTGGACAACTCCCTCTCAGGAATCATGTGAAGAAGTCTTTGTTGATGTGCATTAACAACTTTTACACTGAAAGCTGTGTAAAATGTGACATTTCCATGAATTTAGTTTTATATTTTTACTTTATGTAGTGTTAAATTCCCAATAATAAATGGTAATAATTGTTAAAGGAGTGCTAAACCTTCAATTATGTTGAATAAGTCTGTTAATAAATACTTAGATTTTATCTATTTGAAACATATTTGCATATAAATAAATGTTTGTGTTTTCAAGCTGTAATTATTCTGTTACAGTTCTCCACCATCTGTCTGTCAGTGACAAACTGTTTATCATGAGTTGTGTTTCATTCTTCTTATATTTGAGTGTTAATGATGGATCCCTTTAACAAGGAAATATCTGACAGCAACCGCTTATGTCTGCGTTAACGTTCATTCTTAATTGAGGTCTTTGAAAGGTATCATTTGTGTTTGGGCTTCTAATGGCCTTGTGTTGCCTAGTGTTGGAATAATGACTTCCCCTGTTATACAATCATTGATTACAATCAATGCAGTTCAAAGTGTCACCTCAATGCCTCCAATCTTAATACAATGCCCATAATACAGTATGTCAACTTTGTTTTTACAAGCTTTTGTAGCATGTGACTTTCAAAGAGGAAACCAGTTGGCAGTAATTGTGTCAAACAAAAGCCCACTTGAGCTGGATTCATGCCTGATGTCTGGTTGAACCTGCTGCTGTCTTTATAGGATTATACACTTGATCCTTCTTTGACTGACTCGCTCCTTTATGTGCCGTCTCTTTTGTTTTGCAGCTACCTGAAGCGTTTCAAGGTGATGAAAATCAAGGTCCTGCGTTCATGGTGTCGACAGATCCTGAAAGGCCTTCACTTCCTGCACACCAGAGCCCCGCCCATCATTCACAGGGACCTGAAGTGCGACAACATCTTCATCACGGGGCCTACGGGTTCCGTGAAGATAGGGGACCTGGGTTTAGCCACGCTGAAGAGGGCCTCGTTTGCAAAGAGTGTCATAGGTAAGAACACTGCAGCACTCTGTTGCATGCAAACAGGCCTGCAAGCAGTCTTTATGAAGGTGGAGAAAGTGAAACAGTTTACATAATGTATGTTTTTGCAATAATAACAACCAATTTGCACACACACACGCAGGTTGACACAAGCTGTCTCTTAAGAGCACAGACATGAACATTCTGCACAACTACACACACCTACTGTAAATCAACTTTACTGCTTCCAAAGTGTCTGCTTGTAAAAGCAAACCACAGGTATTTCAAAAGTCAAATATCCAGCAGCTTAATCCTGCTAGAAAGCTAGGATTAAGCTATCTGGAGATGTGATGAAGAGAACATCCCCAACACACACCCTGCACGTACAGTGATGCACACTGAAACTTAAGCTGTGCTCCATATATCAACTTGGCTGCCTTTCAGTAGTCAAGTTGCAAAGTTGACCGCAGATATTTTGGTATTCACACATTCTCACACTCAATTACATGAAAGTGCATTTTCTCATGCACTAGAGGACAGACTGCTATGCTTTGTAAATCTCGCAGCTGCTTTGTAGTCATTCAGAAGACCTCAAGCACTTGGACCCTCGCAGAAATTCATAAACAACAATGCACAAATAACATGGCACAATCAAAAAATACTCCAAGCCTTTAATGTGTTGTTGTTGTTTTTCTCAGAGGAAGACACTCCAAACCAAAGAGGATTTATGATATTAAGGGCTAGATCCACTAAGAATGGATCTTTCCACTATGCAATGTGCAGAAATAGCCCCCGCAATCTGCCCCTTTTTATCACCCTATCCACAAAAGAATTTGCACTAATTATATGTCCATCGCTAACACTCCCATCAAGTTTCCTGCTACGAGCAGTTTGCTCTTGTCTTGCTCTAAATGTGGAGAAAAACAATCTGCACGTTTCCTGATGAAGCTGTTTTGCCTACATAAAGATGATGAGCTACAGTAGGAGGGGTTTCTTCTGATTTGCGCGTGCTTTGTGGATTCCACGCCGTCTGTTTCTCTCATTTGCGCAGGTTTAGTGCACACAAAAGCAGCGCAATCCTTTTTTGGATCTGGCCCTCATTGTAATATGTTGAAATATCAAAGTTTTTTGTTTTGTTGCGTCTCCTTTTCATCAGGTACTCCCGAGTTTATGGCTCCAGAGATGTATGAGGAGAAGTACGATGAATCCGTAGACGTCTACGCCTTCGGGATGTGCATGTTGGAGATGGCGACCTCAGAGTACCCCTACTCTGAATGTCAGAACGCTGCCCAGATCTACAAGCGGGTCACTAGTGTAAGTCTGACTTTCTGCTACGGAGTGTGTGTGGCAGAAACAGAGTGTCTTTTGCATGCTATAGCAGTGAATGGTGAAAGAAGTCATCAAAATACAGTATTTTCATTTGAATCTTCACCTCCCCCAACAGCTCTCTCTGCCCCCTCACCTCCACTTACTTGTTTACTGACTATACAGCATGAACTGCAGGAGATCCTGTCATATGACTGTGTTTTTGCACCACTTAGTCGCTCTTGCTTACTCTCCCTCTCTACCTAACTCTCTCTCTCTCTCTCTCTCTCTCTCTCTCTCTGTCTCTCTGTCTCTCTCTCTCTCTCTCTACCTAACTCTCTCTCTCTCTCTCTGTCTCTCTTGCTCTGTCGGCCTGAAGTAAAAAAAAAAAAAAAAAAGATAACAGTAGCACTGTGGAGACGAATAATTTTTTGGCTGCACCTCTTTTCACCATCGCTCGAGAGCAAACATGTCAAATCAGGCTAAACAGATCTGACCTCGAGGGATGTTGCTGTGGTGGCAGTTCACCAGTAGCTTTGCAGGGTGCTATTTTCGAGGAAAGTGAGGGTAATTGTCTCGAAGTAAAACAGAAAATCTATTCAAATGTCAAAGGCTTAAAATAAGGACAATACACAAAATCATTCAAGGTTTGTTTTTGATGTTTTGAAAGGTTGAAAAAGGGTTGTCAACACACACCTACGTCTTACTATGTTAGAGGAATCTAATTCGACTTAACAGTCTACTTCTTGACAGACTCCAACATGTCGAGATAAAACACCTTACTCACGTTGAACTTGTCTGACATTTTGTTGGAAATTCTAAGAGGCTAAAAAATAAGACAGAGACCAGAATACCGGCAGACAGAGAGGATAACAGATGCAATCAGAGGCCGTTTTAAGTTGAGTGCTTGTGAGGTCATCACCCCTACTCACTAACGCACTCTCTCTCCTCTTTCTCTCACACTCACACACACACACACACACACACACTGTTTCTTATGGACGAGTGCACCCACCATCCCCTCAGCTCAAACAAGCGCTCCTGTTACTGTACCTCTGGTGAACATTAAAATTTAATGGAGACTTCACACACACTGACAGAAATGGGAGGTTTATTGTCCTTTAAGTTGCACACAAATAATAAAAAACTGTGTTAAACAAGTTACTGTGCGGATTTATTTCTAACATTTTTAAGGTAGTGTAGTAACTCTTTTCTCAGTTTCAGCTCAAATGTCTAGCTCAGTCTGACCAGTAAATTCATCTTGACAGGATTTGTATTAAGATTGCATCCCCGCTGCTGCTCACCACCACAAGACAAGAGATTCCCGTTAGACTGTCTGTCTTCTGTCATCTTTCTTTCTCCGTATCTCTAGATTTGATTTAAGACGCTTCATGCACAGAATAAATCCACACGGTATGTTCACATCCTCAATTAGATCCAAGAATATTAAATTAGCGTTGTGACCTCAGCCTTTGGGGCAAACATCTTTTTATGTGTGTGTTTTTCAGGTAAAAGTAATCACAGGATACGCAGTATATGATGTTTACTGAGAGCAGGGAACCTTCAGACTGCGTTGTGACAGAAAAACAAGTAGTTAAACAACAATCTGAGGTTGTCTGTGTTTGTTAGTGTCACCCGTGTACACACACACACACACACACACACACACACACACACACACACAGAACCTTGTGACAACCCCAGGGTGCCCCAGTCACCTGCTCCCTTTTCATTTCGGTGCCTAATCCTCCCTTACAGCTCTCCTCCTGTGTCCTCACAAAGCTAGAACCCTCAGTTAACTCCTGATGTGTTTAAAATGTTTGTTGCGATGAATAAAACAGAAACAAATAATTTAAATACATTTCTTTCACACACTGATATTCTGCTGTGTTATAGTGCACACCATAGCATACAAGCAACACTAAGTCAACCAGAATCGTCTAGATGGTTATTAAGACTATTACAGTAACCCTTAACAGACCACTGTGAGGAATTTGGCTAAAACTAGTTTTTTTGTTTTTTGGTCTATTGTCTTTTTTCTATTTCACTGATAGTTCATCTTGGTCCTCACAGTGCATTTATCAAGCTCTCTCATCATCAGATGATATCTGATTTTAAACTGTAGCCTCATCAGCCTATTAGACATTACAAAATCTGATTTGAGCCCCAAAACATTTCAGGAGCTGCAGGATTAAATAAAAACCAATAATGATAATTACTATAATAAATAATACTCTTTAATTATAGACCAGGAGTGATCACAAGATTATTGTGCACCCTCTATTAATGTTCATGTACTTGACTGAAGATTCAGGAGCCTTTGCATTATGATGTATATGCTGATAGCTGCTCTTACTCTATAACACTTTGACATACAGTGTTGTTGACTTATGGCCTGTAACTTTCTAGAACATTCCTAGCGTCCAATCAGCCTTGTTAAAAGTAAAATCTCAAACTCTCTGTCTCTCTTTCTCCTTCATCCTCTGTTCTCTGTCAGACTTAATACCATTACTTTCTTCATCAGTCCTAACGTTGTTTGGCCCTGGAATCTCACAAGGATTGTGTGTGTGTGGGTTAGAGAGTGATGGGGGGTTCTTATGTAATTGTGAACTGGGGGCTGCAGTAGTGAAACAAGCCAAGAGAGTAAGAAAAGAAAGGGATCAGAAGGAAGAGAGGACAGGGCTGGAGGAAAGGGGGCAGGCGGAGGTGGTCATTTTCTGGAACAAACAGCAACACAAACATTTCTGTCTGTTCTGGCACTCACTCAGTCAGTCAGCTATCCAGCAAGTGTAGTGAAACTTTTCTTATCTTAAGTTAGCTGTCAGTCTAACAGCTTCTAGTGTATGTGTCTCAGGTCTTTTTAGGTAAGTGACTTTATTTGTTAATCTTGAACACATCCTTTCTCGTGATTTTACTTCTCTTGTTAGTGCTGTGCTTATACAGCTTCCAAACACAGTCTGTGTTTGGGAGAAAGTTTGTGCATTCGTATATGTAATGTGTTATTTGAGGTAATTATCCTTTTGCAGTGATTTCATTTGTGTGTTAGAATCACATTATATACCAGAAAGCTGAGGACATTATACACTGCAGTATCGACCATACAGGTGTAACACTAAAATGTCTGTTGTCGTTAAATGTCGGACTTTGTTTTCTCTGGTTGCCTTTCATTTCTTTTAGATTTAGTTTCAGCTCCTTTCTTGGATGTCTGTTCTGTTCTTCCACTAACAGAGTTTGAACAAATGGACTGGTCATTAAGATGCCGTCTGGCAAGCTGTGTAACTGAACTTCTGTTCACTTTTGGGCTACTGATGAGTGCTGGGAAAACTTTTTGAATGCCTTCAGAGTTTACTTGTTGTACGTTACTTGTGAGTCCCCAAAAAGTCGGTTTGAATGACCATTCTTTTATCATAAGGCCTCAGAGAAGTTTTCACTTAGTGCCAGACTTCTGAAAGGGCCCACTGGTGCTTTTATTAATCAAAATAAGATGAAGTTGTTGTTACTTCTCTTTGCAGATTTTCTTGGTTATATTTGCATTTTGTGGGGGAGGGTGTAATTACATTTTTTCTTACTTAATTTCCGTGTGATTAGTTTTTGTTTATCCTGCAGTTATTTAACTTGTTCTATATTTGCTATAGGGAAAAGTCATTTTATTATGCATTACATAACGAGGCAAAAGGAAAACACTAAGCATCACTAAAACACATTAAAACACTCAGAGAACGAGTGAGCATAAAATGCATTGACAGCATGTTTGTGTCCATTGAAAGATGACAGCCAGGTAAACATCTGAAATGAAGTGTCTCTTCACCTGGGTGGGTTTCTCTTGAAAGTCATCTCTGGAGATAAATAAAGTACAATAGAAACTCCAGCAAGTTGCTCTACCTTATTATGACCTGTGTGTGTGTGTGTGTGTGTTTGTTTCTGGGCTATTGATTTAGTGTTTTTCTCTAAAAGATTCTCTGACTTCACTGCTCTTTCTTTGTGTGCAGGGAGTGAAGCCTGGCAGTTTTGACAAGGTAGCCATTCCTGAGGTGAAGGAAATTATAGAGGGCTGCATCAGGACAAACAAGGATGAGAGGTGAGATGTGAGAAGACACAACAACACAAACCCAAACACACACACACACATACACACACACACACATGTACAGACTATCTTTGCATTGCAATGCATTCAATCTCTTACTTTACGAAACAGATGTGATCACAAAAACATGATCAAATAACACATTACTACAGCAAACACAACATAACAGAAGAAGAGGATCTGTGTGACTTCCTCTAATCCTGTTCTGATTCACAGCCTCTCGGTCAGAAATAAGAAGTCCTCTGTTCTCTCATGCCACATGCCAAGACATTCACTGTATCCTCTCCTGCTTTAGAAATAAACCAAGGCTTAACTCATACGTGTCTTTGTTTGTCTTCACATCCTCCCTATTGTCCAAATTCTTGGGCCCCTTGATGAAGACAGGTTATCTAATTTCATTTCTGGGATCTGGTTCAAGAACACTCAGTTGTCATTGTATTTGTTTCTTTCGTAAACGATTAGCCTATTTAAGACCCATTAGAAGGTTCCAGTGCATAACATGTATACAGCTGTAGCAGGGCTAGATGTTGTTGCCATGTTGATTCCAATCAGAAGAATGAATCACCACATCCATCCTATTAGCTTATCAGCTGCGGGCCAGCTCACAAGGCACTGCTGATCTTGAAGTCATTGGTATAAATCAGCGCATACCTACTTTTTGTCTCTTTTTTTTTTTCTAGGTATGCTATAAAGACCCTGCTGAACCATGCGTTCTTCCAGGAGGACACAGGCGTCAGGGTTGAACTGGCAGAGGAGGACGATGGGGAAATGATCGGCATCAAACTGTGGCTCAGGATAGAAGACGTCAAGAAGCTCAAAGGCAAGGAGTTATTTGTTTGTTATCTTATTATTTACCAAATCCAAAATCAGATTGAGAGCTCCCTGAACGTCTTTTTGTACTTGGTTTGCAGGCAAATACAAAGACAACGAAGCCATCGAGTTCTCCTTTGACCTGAATAAGGACGTCCCTGAAGATGTGGCCCAGGAAATGGTGCGTCCAATGCAGGGAAAGAAGTGATGAATGGTTGGACAGATGGACACGTAATGGGAGGAATGATGGGTTTTTGGCAGAGAGAGGAGGCAGAAGGGAAAGATACTTGGTAGAATAAACAATTTAGTTATAGAAGAAGCAGAGTGTTTTTTTTTTGTGGGAAATGCCTAATGGAAGGGGTTGAAGTTTTTGAGCCTGTTGGGTACAAAGAGCATCTGTATGACTTCACTTAATTCCCCAGGTTGAATCCGGCTACGTTGCTGAGGCCGACCACAAGACCATGGCCAAGCGATCAAAGACAGAGTCTCTCTGATCTTGAGGAAGAGAGAACAGAGACAGCTGGTACGAGAGGAGCAGGAGAAGAGAAAACTGGAGAGCGAACAACAGCGGCAACAACAGCGGCAGCAACAACAACACAACAACAACAACAACAACAACAACAACAACAGCAACAACAGCAACAACAGCAACAAGAGGCACTTAAATCAGCACACACACAGGTTTGTTGAGTTGTGAGCTAGTTAGCCTAGTGGATGTTTGCAAAAAAGTTTTCACTTTAAAAGTAGATTTTCTTAAATTGATTTGGTTGTTGTGACATCAGACTGGTTAGGACGAATTAAGGTTTTTACTTTTGCAGTCAGCAAGCAAGAAGTCTTAATCATTGGTGCCTCACTTAAAATGTTCTATTCAGCGCCATTTCCACCTCCGCCAATGGTTCCTTTTTGTAGTTACATTTTTTATTTGAACTTTGATTGTGTAAACAATTGTATGGTAAATAGATCTAAGCTTGACTCGTCAAACCCAAAAAGTTTTTATTTCTATAAACTGAGCTTGTGTTTGTTCGTCTGCAGGCAGAGGTAGAGGAGACTGAGGCGGAGCAACAGCAGCATCACTATCAGCAAACCGGCATCTCACACACATGTAAGCAAAACAACAAACAGACCGTCTTTACAGGACAGCATGAGCACAAAGAACAACATTATTTTCATTTTTTTAAACTCCACCTGTGTTAAAGACAGAAACATATATCTATATAAGGATCTGTAATGGATTAGTCAAAATCATTATATTGTTCCATTGCATCCATCTTCAGAAATATGACACAGAACTGAACACCTCTTAGATAATATTTGCTGGGCAGACAACCATCCTTATCAGAGCCAGGAGGGTGATACCAGCACCATATTGTCTTTGTCTTCCTGTAAAGCACCAGCAGCCATTGTTTGGCTACACCTATCCTACTGTTTACTGAAACTATGAATTTTTCCTTCCTCTAATTGTATTCCATTAAAGTTGTTCAGAAGTTATCATGGCTTTTGTAAACAAAGCGTCCTCCCTGGTGGCCGATGCGCCTTTTTATGCTTTTTATAAATGGCCAACAGAACCTCTATTACATGAGATTATTCCAGTGTCAAAGTCATTTTGTAAACATAATTAGATTCTGACTCTGACACACACTAAGTGTCCTAATATCTGAACACCTCTCTTTCTGTCTTTCTCTCTCAGCTGAAGGAGGTTTGGACAGCGGGCAGAGCTCCTCTGTTTTCTCCTCAGACTCCTTCCACCTGGGTCAGCTGACCATGTCATACAGCGGCCCCCCCTCCAACCAGCCCCCTTCCCAGCCCCAAACCCCCTACCCTCTCCCCCCCTCTTCAAACCCTCAGCAGCACCCAGGCTACGCCCAGCCACCGCAGCCAATGGTGAGTTGTGATGTCATCCAAATTACACATGCATAGATTGTAGTGCATGAGTGAGCACAGGGTCATGTTATACTCGTGTTGTGTTGCTGTGTGTTGAAGATGACTGATTCATTTGAAGTGAGCACTGCTTTGGAGTGAAGTTTGCAGTGTTTAAAATAGGTCCTTAAAAAAAGCATGGTGTTGCGAGGATTGTTGTATATGGAGAAGGAATTCATCCAACGTGAAGATGACAATTTCAAGACAGCTTGTTTATCTTATTTCAGTCAACATTCCAGTTAGTTAAATGTACTGCCTCAGTCAGCTTAATAGTCTTTTCTCAGCCAGCTAACCAGGTAGACAGTCAGCCACATACTTTAATAAAATCCTTGTTGTTAAATAGTTATTTTATTTTCTGATGTTTTATATCTTAAAAGTGTGCAGGTAATTTTTTCCTCCCAGCGGATGTCATGCTCCCTTCAATCCTCTTCTTCTTTTTTCTTTCTTCAGTCCTTCCTTTTGTATGATTATATCTTTCTTTCTTTTACAATAGTCCATCATTTCATTTTTTTTATTTACCAAACTCCTCACTGTAGTTTTAAAGTTGTTTATTGCCTTTATTTATTTTATTGCTGTCTTATTTTGAAAATGTTTAATTCCTGCATATTGGCTCAGAAACACATACTTTTTACTTTGCTCATGTAGAAGTAATCAGAGAAGAATGACACATTTGAGACACATGTAGATATGTTGTTGTTTATCCACTTTGTTGTGCATTAATTTGGCTCATTTTTTAAAAGACACACAGAAGTAATTTAGACTTTATTGAAATGATAGGTGCAATATTAAGTGCAATTGTTTAATCCCAGTGTACTGTATAGCTCAGAATTCATTGATTTACCATCAGAAGTGTTGGATTGGCAGATGGAAACTCACTAATGGAGATCTGACCATTTGCTATTAGATTTCTCTCTCAAACTTTTCCATCTGGTGTCCTTAAAGCCACAAATGCCGTCCAGCCTCTGCTGACTGATTTATTACTAAACTGACTGATGATTGTGTTTGAAGGCTGATGTACTGAATAATTCAATTGGCTTATTTTCAGGTCTGTATGTGATGTAACATGACATTCACCAGTAGACCAATTCCCTCCCCAAAGGTTGTTAATTCAAGCTGCCAGACTGGTTTATCTTCATTTAATCTGTATTTTACTTTTGTTATTTTGCTTTTTTGTTTAAAAGCATTTTAAACTTCTCTTCTCTTTGTTTTTTTATTGTTTAGTATCAGTCATCATTCGTACAGGTTTAATTGTGTTCTTTATTTGAAGTTTTATTTCTATCATTTCTAAATTGTATATTTCTTTGTGTTCATATTTTGTAAACGTTGTTACATTCCTATTTGTTGTTTTAAGTTGTTAGACATGCTATAACTGTTACTAGTACAAAGTCCCGGGTGCAATAATTCCTCTAAACCCTTTAATTATACATTCTATAACTCAGAGAATTATTCATGAGTTTGTTAATGGCATTTTTCATTTAATCTTTAAGTTCCCATATGATTGTCCATTGGTTGCGTTTACACTTTGTTTTGTCCATTGGTTGTGTTTACACTTTGTTTTGTCCATTGGTTGTGTTTACACTTTGTTTTGTCCATTGGTTGCGTTTACACTTTGTTTTGTCCATTGGTTGTGTTTACACTTTGTTTTGTCCATTGGTTGTGTTTACACTTTGTTTTGTCCATTGGTTGTGTTTACACTTTGTTTTGTCCTTTGATTTTGTTTACTATTGTGTGTTTTAATTTCTTTGTGTTTGTTTTCCATGTGGGCCCCACCCTCCTCCATCTCCCCTCCCCTACACACAGCCCATGTTGCGTCGTCATCGGAGTCGTAGCATGTCTGTTTGCGTCCCCCCTTCCTCCTACTCCTTCTCCCATGCTCCTTCACCCGTGGCTGTTTGTCCAAAGCCGCCCTCAACTCCTCCTCCAAACCTGTCCTCCTCATCCTCCTACACCAACAGCTCCCCCTGCATGCCTCTCGCAGCTGAGAGGGACACATTCGCCGGGCGCCTCTCAAAGGCCCTGGAGTCAGTCCTCCCCCTTCACTCTGCCTCCTCCTTACCCGGGGCCAGGCAGCGGAGGGCCAGCCTGCCTGCACTGTTCTCCAGCCCTGTAGGTTCAAAAGCCTTAATCTCAAAGGGGTCATATGGTCTGTGAGAACCAGAGAGGGAGGGAGAGAGAGAAATATGAAGGATATTATCCACACCTCTGTCTGAAAGTAGATAGAAGTGTTCACTTTTCCTGTGTTCTTTTTGTGCGTCCAGAGAAGTGTCCACTGTGATTAAGATACAAATGACCGTTGCTTGAAGCTGCTCGATAAGGATTGTTTATGAAACAGCTTGCATTACTCATGCTGATGCAGCAGGGTTTTTTTTCCATTACAGCTTAGAACAAACTTTCAAAAGACAAATGAGTCAACAACCACATGATTCAGAAAATGTCATTTATTTTCTTTAATCCAATTTCATACCTCTGTAGCCTCTCCAGCATGGTTTACTTACTGAATGTGTAGACTGTCCTCCTTAAAGTAAATGTTGTATAATGAGAGGTCAGCTAACTCTTTTTAAAGTTTAAAATAGTGTGGGCCGAGCCAATGCTGTACATTAGCAAGTAATCAGATAGTTCAACATTACGTGAATACAAAATACTGTCTATTCTAAATTGAAGTGGATTAGTGTTACTTTAGTGTTTGTCAAACTTGGTTTGCTTTCAGACACTGCTGTGAGTATTTCATTTTACCCATCCATCTCTCTTCATCCCTCTTTTAGACCTCCATGTATTCAATTATACTCACTGACTGGCTTGAGCTTTAACTTGCTCAATGAAACAGGCGTCCGCTATCAGGAAAACTGCTCATTTGACAGCAACAATTAGCTAAGTGGTTTTATTAAATTGTAAGTCCTTATTAGACAGCTGGAAGGAGAGAGAGGACAGGACACGAGGGAAAAGAGCAACAAGCTAACGTTTAGACTCAAAAGACAAGTCCCTAACACGACGTCCCTAAGGCGACCACCATTACCTAAAATTAGAATTTTACTTTACATGTGAAGACCACAACATGTTAACTATTGAGCCTGGATAGTTAAAAAAATCATCTGCATGCACTTCACAATGAGTATACTTGTCTCGTAAATATTAGTCTTAGCAGGTGAAAATCCTACCCTACCTTTGAACACTTTGAGGTGAACACAGGCGGTAACCACACTCCACATTAGGGAATCAACATTTTCATCATCTCCCTTATATTCACTCAATCTTTTTAACAACGCTTGAGTTGTGAGCTGGCAACTACTAAAAAAAGTCAAAGTTAGGTCAGAAAGAATTTCTTAAATCAAAGACAGTTTTCCTGAGTGCAGATTCTTTGTGATATTATTGAGCCTATAGCCATCATTTAGTCTTGCTACTCTGTATCTTCTAACCAACTGTGTACCTTTTACTGTCTTATCGTTTGGTTGTCTGCTTGTCTTTGTGCTGTATCACTCTGTCTGTCTTTGTCTGTCTGCCTGTTCCTCTGCAGCTTTGTGTCTTTACACTACCTCCTCACTTCATCTCATCATTCTTTGACAGCTGATTTGTGTATTCTGACTTATTTAAACCACATCATTTTGTTTGTTATGATGATATGTCTCTTTTTTTCCCCTTTATATTCTTTTTGAAATGATACTCTTAATGCACTATTTTCTCCATTTCATGTTGGGGCGTTGCTGTGGTTCTCTCTCATTCTCTGAGTCTCATCCTTAAATCCATTGTATCTCATTGTCACAGCAGCATACAATGCCGCACCCCTACAGTGGCGGAGCAGGAGGAGGAGCAGGAGGGAGCAACCCTCTTCCAAATCTCCCAGACCCCTCTGCTTTTTTCTTTCCCTCCATCCCTGAACGCCCCATTTCATTCTCACCTCCCCCCACCGGGCCTCCCAAGTCCTACAACACACAGAGACGTAAGAGCACGTCCATCCTTGAGGCACACACAAGACACTTCCAGCCTGCCTACCCTCGCTATGGCAGCAGCCTGCATCCTTTTTCTGGGATGGAGGGAGTTGAGACCCCTTCTTTCTACATGGTAAATCCCAGTTTTGCTGCAGCTGCGCAAAGACTTGGCGTTGGGGAGCCGCTGCATCTCCCAGGACAGTCTGATCCAAGTATGTACGCCTTAAAGACATGAGAGCAGAGCACGAGGAAGCAGTGAGGAGATTAAGTCTGAATCAAGCTGCCTTATTGGACCATTACGAAGCAATGGCATATGGAGGTTACCCAATGACTGCCCACCAGCTTTTCCATCAGCAGAGGCAAGCCGCCGCTGCAGCTGCTAGTTTGGTATATGAACCTGTTTCTGCACCACAACCAGCATTCTTGCACCCACACCTTATCCAAAGAATGAGTGCACACAGCCCAATCCCTCAACCCTTAACACCAATGAGTGCACCCGCAGGTGCCGGTGTTACTTCTTCCTCATCAGATGGGTGCTATCCTCCACCTCAGCATGCATCTCCGTCTGCTTTCTCCAATTCTGCACCTCCAGTAATGTCTGACACTCAAATGCCAACTGGTAGTGTGTTTGAGTTCCATTTAGCTGCAGCTGCCGCAGCTGCTGCAGGAGACCCGAGCGTCCTCACATCCAGACTCTACCGGGCCCGGAGGAGCTCCATGGATCTCCCTCTAGAAGACAACACTGGAACTGGATCAGGAGGTTCAGGCACCTACAGCCGCCTCCAACCTGTGACAGAAGAGCTGTACTCATACATCAGTCCTGAGCTCCCCCTACCGCCAGGAAGTCTTCTTTTCCACCACACAGGTTTAGCTGCTAAAGACAGAAGCCCAGAACCCTCTAGTGATTCTATGGCCTCTTCTGACGCAGGGGAGTTTCAGTCGCCTCCTCCCCCTCCCCTCCTTCCATCAAATGACTCGTCTGCCGCTCAGTCCATCCCTCACTCCTCATCCCTGTACGAGTCATTCGGAGTAGTTTATCCCATAGATCCCCAGGGACATCCACCCTCCATGCAGAGCTTTCTCCCTCCCACTCCATCCTCCGAGCTCCCGCTGGGGGAAGCATCAGCGAGTCAGCTGGAGTCTATGATCCAGAGTGCCTGGGCCCGGCACGGAGGGGTGGTACCAGCCCAACCTGATATGACGTACCATGAGTCCTTGCTGGCCATGCAGGCCACGAACCCCAGTCTGGTACTAAGTTTAGACCTTAAAAGTTCCCCTACACCTCAGGGTCGATTACTAGTGAACATTTAATCAGTTGCTTTTTTAGCAAAGATCCACCAACACCTGTAGATATTTAAGATTATTTTCAAGTAATTTGGTAGATTTTAATTGTAAATACACATTCAGTCTTTTTGAATGAAGATGAATAGAAAGCGGTGTACTGACAGAGTGGATCTGTCTTTGAAAAGCAGCTGATTGAACATATATAAGTAATTTGAGCCGAGGTTGAAGAGGTTGCCCAATCCCTGTTTTTTAGTTCACCCTGCCAACCCAGGAGCCCCTTGCTGAAGCTTACTTGTCGTCATGTAGTCTTTGGTTGTGATTTTAATCCCCACCAGAGTGATTCTCATACTCGCCTTCGGAATGTCTCACATAATTCATCCCGTTATATATAATTCAAGAGCATAACTTCAGTCAGAAAGAAGTATTAAGATTTACAGATGAGGGCACGACCAAGGTCACATCTGTGTCCAATGAGGACCAGAATTATTCAAATGTTTCATTCAGAAGGCCGTCTTTGAGACACACTCTGGTGCTCAAGCTTTACAAGCCAACAGTCTAAGCCCCCTTCTTTCTGTGTTTATTTTGTGCATTTCATTTTGGTTTATTTCTGTCAGTATCAGTAAGTAATATTTTGTCTGTATGTTCATATATGAATGTATATGAGAAATGTGTGTTTGTGGGAGTATACTGTTTGAATGGTATACTTGAATTTTTGCTCATGCAAATCCAAAGTCCACTTGGTCCAAAGACAGTATTAAATCCTTCAAATGAAGAGTACTGAATATGTTAAAAACCTTAAATAACAGCAACATTTTCTGGGAAAATGCATGTAAATATAATGTGATAAGAAAACACAATTTATTAATGATAAAACTGTGAGACTTTGTTGATTTGTATGGTCAAACACACAGAAACATACAACAAAACCAAGAGGGCTTAGACACCCCCAGCTGTGTAACCATGCAGATAGACTTTTCATTTGTATATTTAGACTCCTGCTGTTGTTTTGTGTTGTAAGTGCTAAAGATATTGGCTTTAAGTCAGTTCTTTATGGAAGCATATTGTGTTGTCATTTTCCTGTTCATACTGAAAATCATCTTACTATAAAAGGTTCAAAGCTCACACAATCCTTAAACCCTTAGAATGCTGAGATCACAAGTGTCACTATTACTTTCTTCATTTGATACTTTGAACCACTTCCTATCACAGATCTTTCTTCTTCACTACCTCTGGTTTTATTTCATGTCATTTAGTTTTTTATTTACTTTTTTATTTGTGCTGTGAAAGTATTGATTGCGTTAAAGTGACCGCCTGTGGTGTTTTTTTTTTTTTGGCTTTTTTTTAAAAGGTAGGTGACAGTGTGTGTTGTGCAAGCTCCCATCAGACTTTGTAAAGGTGGGCTTCACTAGATTTATTAAGAAACAAACAGCCTTCTTAAGGTTCATATCAAAAGAAGAGTCATGACTCTCTGTCTGATGCTGTCCTGCAAATTTATCATATAATGTAGGAAGGAAGAACCAGCCACATGTTGCTTTGTTTCCTGCTTGAAATGTAACAGAATCAAAAAAATGCAAACAGTTCCAAAGCTTAAGATCTGCATCATTTGATTGTTTCAGGCTTAAAAACAACTTGAAATAAGTGTTTGAGTTGGAATAATTCTCTAATGATGGTAAACATTCTCATGTTTTTGTACAGTGAGCTCCATAGATTGTCCAACACCAACATGTGATTACGACAAATGCAGAATATTTTCCATCATCATCAGGAACTGGAAGAGTTAGCCACCATACAGAAGTCACCATTTATACCCTTACTTTTACATTGAACCTAATGCAGCAGGTGTAAAGTGTCAGCAGTTTCAGTTTTAATAGTTCAGTGTTTGGCGTCAGTACTCTAGCTTCTACTCTGTGCTTTATTGATGTTTTATCACCTCCAATCACTTAGGACCTGCATGTGAAAAACCCTGTACTTACACCCTGCCTAACCCCAGTACTGTGTCTGTACTGTTTTATATGCTACACAAGCTGTGAATTTGCATATATGTGTTTCTGTACAGATAATTGTGCGATGTGTTGTCTGTGTGCATGTGTGCATACACAAGAAGAAAGATACCAATCAACAGAACATTAGACGTACCTTGTGTTTGCACTCATGTGACAATTCTGACCTTTCAGCTTCAAACGTATTCTCATTTTGTTCTTGTTTTCTCCTCTTGATTTCTCCTCCACCTCTGCCTGTCTCTCCTCTCTTCTCTGTCCTTCAGCAGCAGGTTCAAGCTGCCCCCCCTCAGCCCTCTCCAGGACCCCCTCTTGTCCCTGCCACCAGCCAGCCAGCTCCTCCCGGCACCTGCCAACAAGTAAGAAAGCCAGAAGAGGAACTGTAACAACCACTTTTCATACATCCAAACTTCTCCTTCTTCTTTGATTTAATCATTTTTCACACTTTGATTAATCCCACATCCATTTCATGTTCAAAGCCCACAATGATAAAATACCAAAAATAAGCCCACCCTATTCTTGTGCTCATACAATAATAACTTGTACATCAGCGTTCTCTTTGAAGTTGTTGCTTTTACTTGAAGGAAAACCCTCCCACAGAGCTGGCACTTTGCCCATAGTAATATCAGAGTATTCCTGTGTTTGCCCCCCAGCACCAAAGCACTGTAAAAAACTAATTGCAGCCATTGAGCATGAAATCAGTTACCATTGATCAAATGTTTCTTGTTATAAAAAAATGTTTTTTCAGTTTCCTCATTTGAACCAGCCATTCTCCCCTAATTACGCTCATCATGTTTGATATAAGAGTTGCATTTCAAAGCTGGAAGTGCTGTCACATGTTGTTTGAACTTTCTTAAAGTTTGAGTGTTGAGATAATGTTTAACTGAATTTAACAAGATGAATAGGATTTTTTTTTACTGCTGAAATGTCCGTTTTATTCTGCTTTCCCATAACTGGGATTTCAGTTAATCCAGGTTATTATAAGAACAGCATGAAAGTGAACTTTACCTGCTAAAAACAGCATCACACCATACAAGGATCTTTCTGTGCATCAAAAAGATTTACATTTGATATATTTGGTAACATCTTCTCCCACTCCTCTCTCTGTCTCTCTGTCTCTCTCTCGCTCTGTTTCTCTGTTTCTGTCTCACACGCTGTCTCACACTCTGTCTTTCTCTCTCAGGTCGCTTCATCCAGTCAGAGTGTTGCATCAGTTCAGAGCCCCACACACACATCTCTGCCGCAGGCGTATGCACAGGTGCAGAAAGTAGCAACACATTCAAATGTAAATGTCACCCAATACTGCATAAAAAACACAAGCTATCAGTAGATTCTGGAAATTCAAGCTCCACATGCATGCCTTTGTTCATCTTTACCCACACGCACATAGTAATTATATGCTTGAACTTTTGCACCCACAAACATTGATTTATGACAGAGTTCATCAGGGTTTGATTAACCTTCAAATAACTCTGAGTTGTTTTTTTTTCTCCACTGGAGATGTATTCATACATGGACAGATTAAATGAAAACAAGATCCACATTCAGAGAAATCATGGCAACAATTCCTCCATAATGCTCTGAACTGTACAGCATAAGACATTATGTTTAACTTGTTTGGAGAAAGATACAAGACTGGAAGCTAAAGTTTAGAGTATGGTTGAAAAAGCTTATTAAAAAGAATACAGTCCCAGATAAACTGCACATTTAAGCTAATTTGATTAGATGGTCCTTTGACCTTTCAGTCCTGTTATTGGCCCAGTCTAGGGACTTATTCAATCAGCTTTTCAGTCAAATATAAAATATTTCTCTTAGCTTACAAGTAAATCATGTTGATTGAAAACAACTTCAACTTTAATAAGTTTATATATAAAATGATTTTGTTCTCTTTGTCAGTATTGCATGATTTGCCTGTCTTAAAACGTGCGTTCTTTATTAAGCTCAGTTTCTTCTATTTTCCTTTCCATTCTTTGTCTCTCTCTTTTGCATGCTGCCTGTGTTCATCTCCGGGTTTGTTTTGTTATTTGTGTGTGTGTGACTCTGTCTGTATGCATGTGTGTGTGTGTTTTTATGTTTGATATTAATTTCATATTTCTGACACAAAACAAACACGCTTATATTTTCAGTTTTGTGACCTCAGTCCGTCTCCCAGTTTAGAACATCTTTACTTTCTGTACCAAGCTGCTCATCTAGCTCTGGTTAAGGTATCATTAAACAATGCAGTGTTATATATGAGTGTGTGCGGGTGCCCCTGTGTGTCTGCATAGTCCAAAACAAATTTCCCTTAGAGGACAATAAAATACATCTTATCTTAGCTTTTTAGAAGGTATAGGAATGACTTGAGTCATGTTTTTAAATGTTTAAGCCCTTCTCTTTTTGAAGCCGTACTGAACACGTCTGTAGAGATCTGACTTGTTTGTGGTTGCATGGTCTTACTGAGCAGTCGTGTATGTTTCACAATCAGTCACACAGTTTGTGGTTATTTTCTTGTCACTAATCGCCTCATCACGTCAGACCACCTTTCCGGGTTGACCTACGTCCTCCTCCTTCCTGTAACTTTGCCGCCTCCCTTTTTCTCACCTTTACCTTCCAACCTTCTCCTTCTCTTTCTCCCTTTTTTTTCCTTTCTGACCTTCCCTCTTCCCTCTTCCCGCCTCCGGCCCCTCCTCCTCTTCTCAGCCCAGTGTAACTCCATCTGCTGTTCCCTTGGTGACCCGCCCTCTCCGCCATCCCTCCCCGTTACCATGCCGACTGCGGCGATGGCCTCCCCTCCCTCTCCTCTGCCAACCCCTGTTAGAGTGGTGCCTACTACTGTTGTTTCCCCTCCTCCTCCTCCTCCTCCTCCTCCTCCTACTCCTGTGCCCACACCCGTGCCTCAGCCGTTGGCCACTGTGGTGCCAATCATCAGTGTAGTCACCGCCCCGCCTGATACCCCCATGGAAGCCCCTCCCCAGGTACTGGACAGTCAAACCCACCAAGTGGATGCCTTGTCCTGTAGCTGATTGCAGCAGGCTTGATTTATATCATTTTAAATATGAATTTGGGGTTTATTAATATCATTAAGGTTTTTTTTTCATAGAACTACTACTACCTGTCCAAGCTTCAAATCACAGAGTGGTCTTTAGAGTGTGAATAGCCTGAAACAATAAGGAACGATAAGTAGTCTATCTGCCAATGTGTCATCTGAACAGCATGATAGTTTAGTTTCCCTAAATTCATTTCTTGCAATCTAGATCTTTTTCTCTTACCTTTGTCTCACTTTGATCTTATTTCATGCTCTCCTGCTGTATCATCTTTTTCCCTTTCTGTTCCTGATAGCAACTTTGCTGATTATCTGTGTGTGTGTGTCTGTGTATTATTCATGTACCTGTGTGTATGTTTCAGTCCGCCTCTCAGTCTTCAGAGCTGTCCCAGTCCCAACTACAGCCACCTCAAGTACTTTCATCAATAGAGAGGTAATGAATGCATTTACAAGAAAGCTCATGCATTGACTGAATTGATGGTCACTTTTCTCAAAGGATTTCATTTTATTTTTATAATGCCGTCTCTCTCTAAATGTGTCCTCTGTGTCTCCCCCGTTCCTCAGTGGTCACTCTGAGACTTCAGGCCTGAGCGACGGAAATGAAGGTGGAGGTCGCCATGAAGGTCGCTCCACCAAACGACATCAGAGACGCTCTGTGCGAAGTCGATCACGCCATGAGAAGATCTCCAAGGCCAAACTCAACGTTCTAAGTGTAATGATTCATTCTATAAATCTATAACATCATAACTGAACAATAAAACTTTAATTAAAGGGTTTGCTACAGAGTTATGAGTTTCACTAAAAGTAATGAGAAACATCTAATCAGGATACTCATTCTCTACCTTTCTCTCTAACTGTGTCTTCTTGTTTGTGTTTTTTTCTCTCTGTCTGTGTTGTACATGTAGATCTCAAACCGAGGAGACAGGGTGGCAGAGTGTCAGCTGGAGACCCACAACAGGAAGATGGTGACTTTCAGGTTTGATCTGGATGGAGACAACCCCGAGGAGATCGCACAGATCATGGTACACAACGCCTTGTCCTTAAGCTCACATTGAGAGATCACCTGGTTCCCATATACGAAGAAATACTGTAGCTTTGTTGCTGCCACAAGTTACACACAAATAAAACACACGCCTTAATGTGACTGTTTTTTTCTCTTGTGTGTTTGTGTGCAGGTCCAGAGTGAGTTTATCCTGGAGAGTGAGAGGGAGTCGTTCATTGAGCAGGTCAGAGAGGTGATAGAGAATGCTGATGAGAAAGGACTGGAGAGAGACCCAAACAGCAAGGTCAGTTCAACACTTGAAATGTATCAATTCTTATCTCTCGTAATGGTTTGAAAAAATTACATATTAAGCTCTTTCTCAGCAATTTTAAATAAGTCTCAGGGGTCAACAAAACTTGCAAAGTTTCTATTTCAGAACGGTGAAGCTTTAAATTCAAGTGAGTTGTGTTTGACCACGCCTGTCTGGAAGGGCTAGGGTGGCTCCATGCCCTATTGTTTACAGTGAAAAGGCAGACTCAGGGCAGAACAAACACCCAGCTGTTGCAGAGTCACCAGCCTGGGGGAGGAGTTACTGCCCTTTGTGATGTCATGAAGGGAAAATCTCCAAACAGCCTGTCTGAGCACACAGAAAAGTTGAGGGAGTAGGTAAAATACAAGGAGGATGGGCTTATCTCATAATTAGGTTGTTTGTCAACAGGCGAGAGACGTTAGTTTTAGAAAAACATGATCAAGTGAATTTGTATAATATGTGACCTTTAATAGAAAGTTCTGTAATAGGTACTGTTTTTTTTTTAAAGTAAAACTTTGATTGCTTTATGTGTAATGTTTGTGCTTTTACTGTTGTTTCCTCTCTAACAGATGGGAAGTGATATGGTGCAGCAGATTCCTGTTATATCTGTTCCCATGCCAGGTAAAGACAACAATGTAGAATACAAACAAACAGCTAATGGGGCTAAATGACTTGGTGTACCCTGAGCATAGCATTTAATTATAACAAAATGTATAAATAAGACAAAACTCCACACAGAAATAAATTGAGGGCTTCTTTTTAAGCTCCCACAAAGTGTCCTGATGATTATTTTTAGATGAATTGAGGTAAAAGCGTCTTGCATATGAATTCTCTCTAGCAGATAACACTAATGTGTAACTTTAATCTCCCCACAGACATCCCTCCCAGTGCTACAGCACAGGTGGTCCATTCAGCAGGGCGGAGGTTCATCGTTAGTCCCGTACCTGAGGCAAGGCTGAAGGAACAGACGTTTCCTCCCTCTTCTTCTCCTTGTCATTCTCCTGCCCCTGCACCTCCTGTTGAAAGTGGTAAGGATGGTAATGTCATTATGTTGAATGCCAAATGAGGAAGGACAAACAAATTAAGTACAAGGTTGAAACAAAAAAAACAAACAGAATTGCCCTTTAAACACAAAATGCAGACTGAAGCATTGTACTTTGAAACACCCACACACTTATCAGATTAGGCTGTAATGCTTTTAGAGGAAATAGCAAAACAGTTCTGTATGGCTGCAATAACACACTGGCATTTATTCAATTTGATACCATCGGAGTATAACAGCTGTATCTGATCTTCATTTGGATATCGTGAATTAAGCAGTCGTCTGACCAAATTTGTATTTAAGTTTAAGCTCAAAGAAAAGAAAAAAACACAAGCTAAAGCAGTGATTCTGAGCCTTTTAGCTCTTCTTTAGATTTTCTGAATGATGATACACTGATCCAGCTGTATTATTTGTTACTGGATTCACATACCTCTATGTTAACAAAGCCGTTTCATAAGTGGTGAAAAATCCATCATTTTAGCCATACACTAACATTTCTTCTTCCCAGATATTTATTTTGAAATGTAGTTTATAGACCCAACAGACATCTAAATTTATCAGATTTTGTGCAGTGTCTTCTGGAGCTCCAACTTCTCATATTCTTTTATAAAGTTAAGACTTAAAAAAATATTTTAATATCAATTTATTTAACTCCATGACCTGCTTTGACCTTCTTAGACAGGAACTTTCTCATGTTGAAGATAATACTTGCAAACAATAAAAAAGTATTTTAAGGTCCTGTGTGTTAAAAGTAATTAAGACACAGTCTCTTTTTTTCAGTCCCTGCAGCTTCAGCTCCAGCTCAATCCCAGACACCAGGCCAGAATTTGCTGCTGTCCCAATCTGCCGGAGCAATCAGTTTACAACAAGCCTTCTCTGAGCTCAGACAGAACCAGACTCAGTTTGATGCTGGACCCAGCACAGCCCCAGCTTCCATCCACTCCAGTCATCCTCCTCTGCAGCCTGCAGCAGCTCCTGTCCCCACACAGGCCAGCTCTGTCACTCCTCCTGTGGATTTAACTGCTGGACTTGTCCCTTCAAATCAAAACCAGACTCTGGGGCAAGTCCCGGAAACCCCCTCCTCCGTCCCCCCCTCTGTGTCTGCTGTCTGTCTCAGCCCTCCTTCTTCCTCCTCCCCTCCTCCTACTGTGGTGAATCAGTCCATCCTTCAGTCACAGGTACTTTCACAGGCAGGGATTCAGGCTGTGTCTCAAACCCAGGGACAGGTGCAGGTCCAGGGACAAGCACAAATTCAGCCCCAGGTCTTCACCCAGCCTCCCACTCAAACTATTTCTGCAGCCACTGCTACTTCAGTCCCTTCAACAATGCTCACCTCCCCTCCTGCTGCCCAGACTGCTCCTCGTGTAACCTCTCCACCCTCCTCATCCTCAACTTTTATCACCAGTGACGTCTCCTCCGACCTCCCATCAGGCTCCCCCATCACCTCCTCCACTCCCTCTCTGTCTTCCACCGTCATCCCCACAACCGCCATCCCAGGCCCCCAGCTCGCTCCTTCTGCAGCCATATCCTCCCACCCCTCTCCCCCTCCCTCCACCACTTCCTCCTCTGCTGTGGGACTGCAGCCAGTGACTACAAATGTTCCTTTGGTTCAACCAACATTGGTCCACTCCCAGCCACAGACGGCCGCCATGCCCGGTCAGACACACACGCACTGTGGGGAATGTGATGCAAGGTTAGAAGTGACTGATGTGTTTTTATTTTCTGTCATTACATTATATTTGACAAATGAGAAATTCTCAAGATCTAAGCTGCTGAATGTCTTGCTGAAGTTACAATGCCTTGAATAAATATTCACCCACTTCAACTTTTTCCATGTAAAATCCCTTTACAACTACGAGTTAAAATGTATTTAATTTGGGTTGTACGCAGCAGAAAAACACAAATATTCCACAACTGAAATCAGGTGACATTGCCTTCAGGTTAAACTGTGCATCAGATAGGCGTGTGCTTTTTAGCCTGCACCTGTTTGTTAATCAAACAGTAAAAAAATCCAAATAAGTCTACTGGATATTCCATGTTGTAGCTCTTTAAGATGTAGCAAAGTCACATTGGGGTCATAGATACAAATCATTTATTGATCTTTTTCTCAGGTGTGAGTCCTCCACTGATTTACAAGGCAAACCAGACGACATCCAAGCCCTGGAGATGAAGCTGCGCTCGCTCTTCATGGACCTTGGTGGCGGGGTGTCTTCAGCCGACATGTTAGCATCCGACCCTGCTTCTGGAACCCATGCAGCTGGTACTTCATCCCCAATAGGACCCTCTTCTACCTCCGGCACATCTGTCACCACACCTTGCTCCAGTCTGCCAGCTAATCCTCCTCAGCCCCCCTCCAGTTTAGCACTGGGGTCACCTGTTCCAATCCAGGGCCCAGGAACACCGATCTCCACTCCTGCACCCATTGGTACGTGTATGCATAACATTATGTGGTCTGCATATGGACTTCTTTCAGTTAATAATACAGATTACTGACTTTATTACAGTTTCTACAGTCAACCCTGCTGCATCCTTTGGCCAGACCACTCCATCCAAACCCCCTTTATCCAGGGTGCCGGTAAGTTATCATAAAACTATACTCTTTCTTCAGGTCTAGTATAGCATTTGCAATATTGATTTAGTTAATTATTACCAGGCTAGTTTAACAATGCTTCTATGAATCTTTAAATGTAATCTTTCGGAGTTCAAGATGTTCTAAATCTTTCTACTCACGTTTCTTGTTCTCATCCGGCATGAAAATATAACATTCTCCACAACGACCACCATTCTCACAACTTCATCTCCAAACCTTCTCTCTCTCATTTCTCCCACTCTGTCTCTGTCACCTCCTCTTTTCTTCTCTGGGATTAGGCCAGTTCTCCTACTTCAGAACTCCTGCCATCTTTCCCTGGACCTTGTCTAATACAGGTGTTTGTTTTTTTTCTCCTCCTATTTAGACTTTATTTCCAATGCATTGCTCTATACATACTGTGCCTGTGATGCTTCTGGTTACAGTTCCATGTCCTATCTGTTGTGTATAACCAGTGCTTTCACTGTGCTCGAATATATTTCAACCCTAACTATCTGACAAACACTTACCAGAGAAACTCTTTCAATTTAAACCAGTCAGAACAGCAATATTTCATTCTTAGCAACTCATAAGAAATGATGAGAGAACTCAACAAGGGCAAAGAAAGTGACATCATTTAACTGCAACACAATGCAGATACTTCTCTGTTGAATGAAGAGTAATATAGATGTTATTGTGAAGGGCCAGACCTGTCCTGTTAAAACATTTAGGTCTCAGGAGGCTCGTGTCGTTTGTGTGTGTGTGTGACCTCTACAACACATATTGAAGTATGCTCATGCCTTGTAGCCATATGTGTGTGCTTTTGTCTTCTCTGTGCTAATCTTCACTTATCAATTGCGTTTTTCTGTATGTGCATCTAACATGTCATCCTCTTCTGACAGTCCCAGCAGCCTCTGGAGGACCTGGATGCTCAGTTAAGGCGAGCACTGAGCCCAGAGACGGTTCCTGTCAGCACGCACACACAGGTAAACACACATATGGGATATCAGCATGGTATCGTTTCATATTTCAAATTCAACAACTGTGGTGAATTAACAAATGTTCCTCCGTCTCCTTGTGAACCCCAGGCCTCTCACAGTGGAACACATGCAGCGGGACAACCAAGTATGTATATTTTTATTTGAAACTTTTCATCAATGTGTGTGCTTTATCAGTCCATCTAAATGTAAAAAAAAAAAACATCTTTCAGTTCCCTTCTCTCTGGAGGAAGAAACGATGTCCTCTGCGGCTCCTCCCCCTCCTGTTAAACTGGGCAGATTTCAGGTAAGATTTCTCTACTGTACTCGTACATTTCTGTTTTTAAAAATACTTTTCAGGAATTAAATACAGATTGTCTCTTTTCATTTAATTGTTTTGTCTAAGAGCCCATTTTAAGAATCATCTTCTCTTCTTAGGTCTCACTGGCTGCTGAAGAGCCTCCTGTCAAACGCCCCGCCTGCACCGAATCCTCTCCACCACCTCCTCCTCTTCCTCTTCTTCCTCCTCGTCCTCCTCCAGCCTCTCCAGCCCGGAGAACACGCTGCACAAGGACTCCTCGTCTCCTCTGAGAGTCGGAGGAAGAGATGTTGTCGATGGACTACCCCAAAAGACCTGGAAGGGTGCCGCCAACCTTCCCCTATTGCCTCACCCTCCCCCTCTCCTAAGCCGCCCACCACCATCGGACGCTTCCAGGTTCCTCCCTTTTACTGTGTTTGCTCTTTAAGTGTTGTGAGGATTTTTCTCTGCAGTGGTTTCCCCGCATTTCCCTCATTTATCAAAAATATTTGTTTCTCTTTTTTTTTCTTCAGGTTACTACTAGCACTGAGGCTCGTGTTGGACGATTCTCTGTGAGCCGAGCCCAGGAGCAGAGCACTGAGTCGAGACAGACGCCTCCACCTGCTGCAAAGGCTACAAATGGACCCAGTGATCCTGGGCAGCTTTTGAGTCCAGATTCTACTCATAAAGCCTCGCTACCAAGTCTCAACAACTCCTTTAACAACTCCTATGTCAGCAGTGACAATGACTCCGAATTTGAGGATGAAGACTTTAAACGGGAAGTCGGCCGCCTCAGAGAAAAGTAAGTGATCGCTTCCTCTCTTCTTTGGAAATTTCAGAGGAAATGCTTTCTGTTGCTCAGTCAACACGTTTCTTTAAACTTTCACCAACTCCTCGCTAAAGTCATCTGTTTTGAAGAAAATTGGATTATTTTTCTCTTCTCTTTCTCTGCCTCTTTGTCCCAGAAATGACTTGACTGTCTTCTACTTCAGCTTTCTCCTCTTCCTCTTTCCCCTCACCCTTGTGAATGAGGTTAACCACTCACTTCCCTTCATGTCTTCTTTCTCTTTCTCATTTCATGAAAAGAGATGTTCAGGGCTTCTAAGACACCAGGCCCGTCCTTCTCTCTTGTTGCTTCCTAACCCTCAAAAAAGCTCTCTCTATCTTGTGAGTTAATGTTTTATTCCTCAAATGTGTATTCCCTCTATCTACCGACAGGCACATGCGTGAGATTCAGGCGCTACACTCCCGCCAGAAGGAAGAAATAGACTGCCTCTTCACAAAACTTGGAAAGGTCACTCATTTTAGTTACATCAGTGCAGACAACATAAACGTAACAACACATGCAGTGCAAAGTTAACAGACAGTCTTCCTTTGATGTTGGTGCAGGTTCCTCCAGCTACTGTGCTCCCTCCAGTTGTATCCCTGACTGGCAGGAGGAGACGACCTACCAAAAGCAAATCGTCCAAATCATCCAGAACCAGCTCCATGCATGGCAGCAAGAGCCCTTTACAGCCAGGTAGGCTTCTGTTCAAATATAATGAAAGAAACATCACTCAAAATACTTAATTCTAGAGGTTACTGGCCTTGCAGTGGGTGGTTTAATTTGTCAGGGGTTTAAGATTTTCCTCTCTGAGATTTCTGCCTCAACCCACACACAAAAGGGATGATGAATCAAATACGGCTAACGTTGATCTCAGGCAGAATTGATTTGGAAAGATACTTGTAATCTGTTAAATTAGTGAAGATAACCCACAGAGCTGTACATGGCCCTCAAGTCAATGACATCTAAAAACTGTAAACATTAGCACTTCACATTCAGACCAAAAAACAAGCATCATTTTAATGGGCTAATAAGTGCTTATTAGCAAATGTTAAATGCTAACATGCTAAAGTAACATGTTTAAATTACCTGCTTAATCTCAGTATGATGGCTCTTTCATGCAGAGCATACCTCATCATTAAGTATGAACATTGGTGAGCAACACAAATTCTACTGACCTCAACAAAGCCCACGCAAATTAAACCAAACATTTCTTGCATAGCTTCCAGAAGATGATGATGAATTATGCAAATTTTCATTTGATTGAAAAACAAAATCAAACAATTTATCTTAGTCTTGAAGCCTACACAACACAAGAAGGGTTCTAAAACTGTTACCCTAACATGACACCGTCTCTGTGTTTACGCATCTGTGTGCACATATGTGTGTGTGTGCGTTTATCTGCTTGGTTACACGTGCATGCTGGTGTGTGCTGGAGCAGGCTCGGTGCTTACACATTTCTGACTGCTTTCCCTGTCCGTCTCCCTCTCTGTGGTCTCTGCGTTTGTATTGGTGTCTGTGTAACGTCTGGGGTGATGGGCGTGCCATCTGTGTTTTGTGTGTGTGTGTGTGTGTGTGTGTGTGTGTGTGTGTCTCGGTCTCTGCGGTGTGTCCTTCCTGCCCTGTCCTCTCCTCCTGCCTGTGCCTTGTGTGCCATCTCCAGGCAGCACTTTATCCGCCCAGAGCGTCCCCACCATGTACCCCGGCCAGCTGGTTCTGTTAGCCCCAGGAGGATTAGCCGATTCGGGCAGCAGCACAATGCTCCAGCCAATCAAACCCTCTCCCTCCAGCAACAACCTGTGTTCTGCCTACACCAGCGAGGGGGCGCTGTCTGTGCCCAGCCTGTGTGCTCCCACCCCAGGTAGGCATGGGACTGCATATTTCAGTCTGCAAACTGCCCCACCAACTTCCTCACAATGTCAGAAACACTTTGAATGCAGACAAACACAAACGCATGCCGTATGTGTGTCTTCACTCCCTCACACCTTTGTCTATCTGTTACTGTCTCTGTGGAAAGCAGTGTGATGACTAACTGACTGTTACATTCTTCCTTTCTTTGCCTCTGTCTTTCTCTTACCTGTCTCTATTTCTGTCAAAAAAAAAATTCTATCCTCTCCTTCCTTTTTCTCTACCTTCTCTCTACCCCTTTCCTTCTCTGTTTCCTCAACTCTCTCCTCTTTTTCCTTCCTCCCTCTCTTCAGGCTGTGTAAAGTTCAGCTGGGGTTCGGAGCGTTTGGCCCTCAAGCCTGGCGGCAGGAGGACGCGCTTTCTGAGTACGCCCTGCTTGGCTCTTTGTGTGTAACGCTTTATTCCTTTGCTCTTCTCTTTTCACTCCTCATCCCGACTAACTTCTTTTATTTCTTTTATTTTTGTTACTTTTATTTTCCTACCTGTATTTCTTTCAAGTTATGGTCGTCCTGTCTTCCATTGGGTTTCCTTCCTTGATGGAGGAAGACCCTCTGCCTGGTGTCTTCAAATGAGTTATCTTTATGGAATTAGTAAAAAAAAAAAAAACATTTCTCCTCCTTTGCAAAGTTAAACAGCTTTCACGGCTGACCACTTTCTCACTACAGCATTCTTGATCTTCTTACCAAAATGATTTCAGACAAACTAAAGTTGTATTTTAACTGTAAACCGTTTGCTGTCTTCGACTACAAATGTTTGTATTTGTTGGATAAAACAAATAACTTTAGGTAATGAAGAAACGTATCTATATACAATAAGATAAGAGCTTAATGCAGGACTCAAACAGGTAGCAAAATTACAAAAGTAGTATTTACAGTCCTGACATTACTGTCTTTACTTACTATTGAACTTGTTTTTCTAATTCTCCTTTCCTTCTTTAATCCTTTCTTTTTATTTTTTAAATAGTCTTAACTAAGCTTTCATTTCCAACCCTGTGCACTTCTGGCAGAGGAATAACAGCCCTGCCAAAAATCAAACATGAAGATGGTAGAAAGGCCACAGTTACTGTTTAATGTAACACACTTTAAAGGCTCTTACCAGTAATTCCACTGACGTCTGAACGTCTGAGTGCACTGTGAAGTGTGATGACAGAAAAACAACAGCTGTGATTGTGTGACAGAAAAACTTTCTGTATCAACCCCAAACATCAGTGACAGGGAACTGAGTGTGACTACTACATTTAAATGCGGAATTAAAAACATCAGTCCTGGGTAGATCAACACATGCAGTGTTACTCCCGGTGTTAGCAGCAGCACCAGAGTAAAAATAATTTAATGATATCTAGTGTTAAAGGCAGAAAAAAGAAGCATGAGGAACTACATTGTCAGAAAACCAACAGAAGAGCAGCTTGCAAATTGACAAGGAAGTCAGTGTATTTTTTCCTACGAGTGACCTCGATCTGACGTCAAGCTGCATACACTGAGAGTTGTTTTGTAATCAACCAGATAGACAGATGGATGAATGGTTTCACAATGACTGCTGCTTTATATGATCAGATATGGTGTTTGGTTTCATACATTTCATGAACATCTGTGCGACATAGAAATAAACAAATGAGCACGTCAGGAACCATGAAATAAGACTGGTGGAAAAAAAAAACTGCTTAATAGCAGCTGAAATGCTCAGGATTTTGTTATGTGCCCTCATGCAGTACATTTACCTTTTAACATTTTTTAAATGCTCCTTGACAATCTGTTAACAGTGAAAAACAGTCCTTGATAAGTGACACTGTAAATCACAAGCTGCATTACAGGCAGAACAACATCCACTTCATATCATCTCTAGTCTTTAACAGTAAGAGATAGATGGCGTTTCGTTTGTGCGTTTACAGTAGCGTCTTCCATCTCTAACCCCAGACTCTGTCTCAACAAGCAGACTAACAGGAAGACAAGCAGAGACCTGAGGATTTGAGATCCCAACAGTTTTTTGTTTTTTTTAATTAAAATTCATCAATTGCATTTACTCATTGAACAGTTGTGTTCAAATACTGTGATACTCTTTTTATTTATTTCCATTTTTCATTATGAAAAATCGTTTCTTTTCTTCAGTCATATAAGACCTTTATAATAATATGTAGTGTTGGTTAATTGTTTTGTGCTTGATGAAAAGATGTTTATGAATGCTTCTGAACCCTCTGCAGCTCGAAGCCTTTCTGCCTTCCTTCCTTTCCTCACTCCCTCTCCTCACCTCCTTGTCTCTCTCACCTAGTCCCCAAACCACTGCACAGCCAGGAGGGGAGAGAGACAGACCTGGGTCTTGTAGTTGTTTCATGATGTTGGCTCACCTGATTCTATTGAGGTGTCTGACCAGAAATGATGTGTGCAGTAACTAAGAGGTCTGGAAATTAATACTTTAACTGTTTTAAAGCCTAATTTGGACCCAGTTCTGGGGTGGCCCTGTGAGCTGCAGAGAGGACTCAGAACCAGGAGTTGGTTACCCAAAAGCGTCGCTTCACAATATTGATATTCCAATATTATCAGCTTTTATTCCATTATGTTATTGGCAAAGAAATGAGCTTAAAGTAGGTGTGTGTACTTTGTCAGAAGGTTGCCTTGTCAAAAGAGAAAGTTACTATCTTGGTTGTTTATCATGGCTTCAATTCATACTTTAAAATTTTGCAAACACATATTCAACTCCTTCTTTACATTTAGGGTATTAACCTTTGCACTGTTCAAAAGGTGATTAGATGATTTTGGGTAACTCAACCCCAAATGTTGTCAATGACTACATTAAGCTCCAGTAATAATGCTTGGGTGCATTGTGTTTGGTTGTTTGGTGTTTGTGGGCGGGGTTTAACTCTGACTCTCTCCCAATCCTCCAATTGTTGTCTTCCGGCCACACAGGGAAGATGGTGAAAAAAGTCTGCCCCTGCAACCAGCTCTGTAGTAATTATCGCTCTTTTTGGTCCTTCCTCCCTCCCTCCATCCATCTCTCCTACTCCGTCCTTGCACTTCTCCTCCCACGCTTCCTTGTGCTCTCTTATTTATGTCTCCTTAATGTGTAAACATTGACCCTCCTCCAGATTTGAATTCAATTCAGTCATTTCAGCTCACAAAAACAGTATTACTTTCTTGATAATAAATGATCAAAGAACAAATATTCAAGGACTGAAACGACTGAATTGGGCTGGCATAACATATTCAATCTTACAGTGCATGCACACACACACACACACACACACACACACACACTCCTACCTTCCTTTTTTATTTCCTCACTCATCATGACTGCATTTCCCAGAGTTCCATGCTGCTGAGTCAATCATGACTCAGTTTCTCCTCGTTCTTATTTTCCTCCATTTTATTTAGCATGACATGACAGTTTTTGTCGGACCAACTGTATGATAAGTGTTGATCGGCTTATCCTGCATATTTTGTCTTTTCTCTTGTCATATCTATTAACTGAACAGATCTTAGTCAATGTAAAAGGGATGTATAAGGGATAATCATTTTTGTAAAATATGTTGTACCTTTTTCATGATGATAACAGACCAATAATAGATGGTGCTTATCATCTCTCACAATGGTTTGAATGATTTGAGAAAACATGTCATATTTCATATTTTAGGATCAGGATTAGAGTGAAGCAGAATTTGAAATTCTCAGACGACAGTTAAACATGCGGAGGTTGTTGCACAGAGCTGTGAGATGTTGTAATCTTCATCCTTAAACAGAAGTAATTAGTTAAACACACAAAAGGACTACACACAGACAGAGTGCAAATACAAACAGATAAATAACAACAACTGATAGACACAGAATGACCCATAAAATGACAGAGCTTCTATAGGCAGACACAGACACACTTTAATCGTCCTCCTCCTCTTGAGGAATGAATTCAAACAGAAAGAAGCAGAACAACTAACAACAAACACAAAACAACCACAAACTGAACAGAAAAAAAAATCAAAACAGACACATGAGAAAACATTTAAAAAGAGACAGCAGACAACAATCCAGGATTATATAAGAGACACATGACTTCATGGGAACAAGCCATGATTTTAACTTACAATGGTGAACATGAATACGAAGCTGCATTGTATTCAAGCAGAGCACTTAAGTGCAGACAGTTTGTTTTGTGTCCTGCTTGTTTTCTTTGATGCTGAGGGTTGACAAAAAGTAAAGCAGCTTAGAGCTTGAGTGCCCTCTTCTGGTCAAAAACATGAATTACAACTGTAGCCCTGCACAGTACAGCACACAGTGTTAATGCAGCAGGCCTGGCTCAGCACTGCTTGTTTGGTGTTGCAGCAGTTTGCAGGTGAATGCTGCTGTGCATGTCAAATTATATGTTAAAGTATCATATTCTTTTTTTATGTTGGTGCTAGTCATCATTGTGTCCATCATTACATCTAAACATGTAATACTATGTCATCATTCTGACTTACCCTTAAAGCCGTCCCCGACGAGCCTCTGTCACCATGTAACTGCCTCTTTCATGGTCAAGGCAGGAAATACATTTTCATTCATTCAGATAAAACACAATAATGATCCTCTGGTTTTAACAAAATCTCACATCCTTTGCTCTTCTCCTCCCTTCTGTCTCCGTCTACAGGGACTAACAGCACCAACGCAGTGAGTGGTTCAGGGGGTTTGGGTCAGAGCCAAGGTGGTTCTCAGTGTCTGCCCCCCAACATGTCAGCCCCACACCAGAGGAAAGGAACCTTCACCGACGACCTCCATAAACTGGTAGACAACTGGGCCAGAGATGCCATGAACCTCTCACAGGTTAACTGCAGACTTATAATCCTGTTTTCTTCAGTCTTCTGAATATTGTGCCAGTCCAGTAGTTCAAGTTGCACATTGTTCCAGCCTACTTTAAAACATTCATTGTTCATATACTGATCCCTCAGGTATAGAGTACAACTGTTTTGCATGAGGGTAATAATCAGTGTAATGGAAACTGAACTAAATATTCACTTTCAGGGGAAGAGGAGTGCCAAACAGCTGCAGCAGACCCCAGCACAAGGACACAGCTATGAGGTTAGTTCAAAAATTAAACACATCTCCATATGTGTTTGGGGAGGGACAATGAACCTGCATAGTATACAATTTAGTGCCTTTATGCTGTAATTATATCAACAAGGTATATGTGTCTATTAGTTCTCTGTAATTGGTTTCAAGACAAGTTTACTTTGAAACATGCATAGTGTGATCACTCTATGAACTCTAAAAGACAGACCTGCAGGTTGAGATAATCGTTCAACAAATATGTATCTGTAATACATGTAAGAATTTCCCTCGGGATCAATAAAGTATCTATCTATCTATCTATCTATCTAAGTTAAGATGTATGACTGCTGTGAGACATTCGAGGAGACTGTAATACTTAACAATTCTTAAAATTAAATAATTTTTCTTTGAGATACAGGTTAACTAATTTCAAATCAAAAAAGATAAGAAAGTTGATACAATCTGCTTAGTTGTGATAAAAAGGAAGACCCATGAGAGTAAGCATGAATAAACTTTTCTCTTCATGTGAACTCCCACCTCTCCAGGTGATCCAGTCTGCCAGTCTGGGCAGGAAGTACTCTGCACCCAGCCAACTGTGTCCCAGCAGCATCGGAGGCTCCGCCCACCTCCCTTCAAACCCCACCACCGCTACCTCTATGGCCGTCCGCAAGGGCTCCCTGTGCCATCCGCCCGCTTCCTCATCTACACCTCAACCCCAACCTCCCCAGTTCATCCACTACACCCCCACCGCCGCCTACAGTGCACAGTGGTCCGGTCCTGCTCACGGCCTCTCGACTCCACATCAGGCCCCTGCACAGCCCGGGCCCCTGCTGGTCAGCACTTCCCAGCCCTTAGGCCCCTACCCAGCAGTCTCGGTAGGAGGTCAGGGCCAGATCCCCGGGCAGGGTCCACTCCAGGCTTTCCATCTTGCCCACTCTCTGCAAAAATCTGTCAGCAACCCAGGAGGACCCAACCTGAGGACCACGTAGGGCTGGGGGAGAGGGCTGGAGTGAATCACGGCCCGCCTGGTCAGAACAGAAAAACAGAGTGTTATACGCTAGATCTGCCAGAGAGGATGGAAGAACTGGAGGGTGCAATGAGTTTGAAATAAAATCAGCAGAAAGAAAACAGGAAACGAAATACGGAATACAAACTCTGTATCCATCCTTTTGTGCAAGAAGCTGTCGCAAAAAGCAGTCCATGATCTCCTTGGTCTGTTGTTTTGGACTGAGGTCTTGTGACAGCTCAAAGATTAAGAAAAAAGACTGATGAGTGCAATGTTAAAGGCCAAAGAGGTATTGACAGGGTGCAGGATTGGTATTAGTAACTCTTGCTGTTATGTTAAGGCACTTATCGCTTGGTCACACTTGTTCCATTTCAGGCATTAACTTAAGTGAACAACAGTCTGTGAGGCGGGTCAACCAGTTGAGGAGATGTTATAACATTTTGAGGGGGAGGAATGTGGGGGCCAGCCTTTAAAGAAACCAAATTTAGCCCTTGTGTCCACACAGCAGCTCTTAATAGCTTCTCGTGCTGAAGTAATTTCAAAGATTTGAATCTTTTGGCTCTTTTATTGAGTATTTTGAGAAAAAGAAAAAAGCTCTCAAGCTCTTAAAGCAGATGCTAACATGCTGAAATTCCCTTAAATGAGATTGGGACTCCACAAAGAGAGGAGCATGGCTGGTCAGCACAATCAGGTTGTCTGTTTGACTGTAACGTGCTTGTCAAAAAGCTGCATACAGCTGCAGATAAAAGCTTTGATTACAGGTGGAAGCAAAATGAAAAGGTGTTGGATACAGCGTGTGAGTGTTTGCTCTTCAGTATTTACAATCTGGTCATTCCCTCCTAACCATTAAAAGCACAAGAAAGTCCAAAAAACAAACCACTGGGAAATAGAAAGTCTGGATCTTAGCTGCCTAATTTAGAGTAAGTGTAATCCAGCACATGGTGGATTTGTTCACCTGTAAGCTCGAGTCATGACAGCTACTCCTCTGTTACCTTCTGTGTCTTGCTCCTCCCTTGTTGTGACAAACTGCTCAAACAGGTGGAGAATGATGGAGGAGAGAAAGAGGACAAAGAAGAGCAGAGAGAGAGTGTGCTGGTTTTACATCAGAATCAAACACCTCGTCCACTGTCCGATTAAAGTACTGAATGGACAGATGCTTCTGCTCGACAAACGCCTCCTCACCGTCACGACTCCACCTCTTCCTCCATCTCTCCCTCTGTCCGCCTGCCTCTCTGTTGCCATTTGAAGCAATAACAGCAGAAACCTTTTAGAGAAAACGTGAGCGGACTCGGCGTGAAACAGTGGCCTTGTTATCAGAGTAATATCGAGTCCCTGTACAGTTTGTGTCTCGGTTCATTTTTTAGAATGTCAGCTATTATGATTCCATTTTGTTATTTTTATTTTGTTTTGTTGGATTTTGTTTGGCTTGCTGCACTCGCACACACACAGACATACAGTACATTACACACACACACACACACACACAGACACACACAGACTTATATACAGACATGCACATTGAGGCGTAGCAGCAGTTTAACAGAGTGACACATTAATGCCTCAGTTCATCATTAGTTTGCTTTCAACATGTGTGTTGAAATGATTGCAATGTACATTAATGTCATAATTATTGTTGTGAATGATTATTATTCTATTTAAAAAGAAACAAAAACAAGAGTGTGTTCTGTCGACGGACCTGTTATGCGAGCACATCGGTGTGCGATGTGAAAACACTGTGATTATTGTTGTTTATTCTCAGACAATGTTGTTGGACAACGTTAGTTTGAGGATGAAATGTCACAAATTAAGAAAACAAAAGCAAACTGAGGACGGCTTGGTGAGGCTTTCACTTTCAATTCTTTGCAACTTTATAAAATAGATTCTTTGAATAATGTGAAAAAAAATCCTTCTTTACAATAATCGTCCTTTACAGTCAGCTTTGGAGGACGTTTATCCAAACAAATGCCTTACAACAACTGATCGACTGCAGCTTCAGTTCCTTAAAAAACGGATCATATTGAAAGTGGAAAGTGACCTCATTGCTGGATTATTAAAACAAACCGGGGTGAAAGGCAGAATAGTTGATATTTAGATAATAAAGTAATGCTAGCTATTTTTTCTTAATACAGTACTTATATATCAGACACTTTAAATAGCCCTCCTCTTCCCTTTCTCCCCTGGTTCTGTTAGATGAATGTGAATGTATAAACCAATGGTGTCCATTTTAATGTACTTGAAAACTGTCTTTAATTTTTCTTTTTTCTTTTGCTTCCCCCCACCATCACCTATCGAGCCTCTGGTGAAATCTAGAGGTGCTCACTAGTGCCTTGCATCTTTCCTGTTGCTTGTTGTGTTGGGGGTTGACGACTTTGAGTTAAAGTAAGCACACTAGGCAGCATGTGTGGAGAGTTTTTGGGGGTGTCACTTTGAAGTCAGTGGTTGGATTACAGGCAGGTAGTAGATGGCTGTTAGCTGTTGATGTGTGTGCTACAGCTGGTTTGTGGTTTATTCTCTTTGATAGTGTAAAGAAGAATGCTTCCACATGTTGGATTGAAAAAAAAAAATTCAATCGTAACTATTAACCTTAACTTAGCCTAACTCTGCTGCCACTGAAGGCCGAAACACAGGAGGCCTGACTGTGACTTTAGCCCGGTTACTACACCATAGCTAAAAGATGGAGGGAATATGAGAGTTCATCAGTGACTTTTTTTTTCAGGGTTTTTACATGTAGATATTGGAGGAAAAGAGGTGCGTTTATATTTTTTCAGGAGGGAGTCATTAAAGATTGTATTTGAAGCTTGGACCACTCTGTACTTTAGGCACTGGCCCACACAGGAGCAGGATTCAGTCAGCGGAGGACAAATCGCGGTAATCAAAGTGAATTCATCTATTAGGTTTGACCTATCTCTCGCTTTCATTCTATCTTTACCAAAAAAGTAACGATGACGTGACCTCTGGATTAGAGTCACCCATTCAGTGAGCAGTGAGTGCATTTACCGAGGCACATCTATTATAAACTTTACAGTAAAATGACTACAGCCCAAAGCCCCTGAAAACACTTTCATTTCTAAACAAGCAGCAATCTGTGCAAAAACAAACATGTTAAGGTATCTTTTAGGAATAGTTTGACACTGAAAAACTCAACTATTCGGCTTTATCAGCAGTATTTTGGAGGGTGTTTGTTACAGTTAAGATTGACAGTGACAAAACGTGGCTCCATCTGAATCCTGATTGGTGCACAGAGGAAAGTTTTTCCAACTGAGCTCCACCCACTTAGAAAATGTGACGAAAGAAAGAAATAATTTTTCTCCTGTGAAATAACCCAAACTTCCCTTTTTCTGCAGTATTTGACTTCAATCTAGGAAGTTTTCAGTGTCAAAAGCAGCAGAAAGAAATGCTGACTGCAAAGTTGCAGGAGCCGTAATGATTCTCAAGTACAACCCATTTTTTATTCCCACTAGGAACATGTTGGCTGTCTTCCATTTTATTACCCCAAAAGCATTTAAAAGGCCGCAGAGCTACACTGTCTTTTTAACAGATGTTGTAGCCTAATCATCTCAGACGTGCTGCTTGAGGACAAAAAAGCAAATCTGCAAAAGGTATGAAAACTGTCTCATTCACAACCTGCTCCCACTGTATAGTTCTGCAGCTGCAGTGTTGGGGGTTTATTCACAAAGAGAAGAAGAAGAAGTGTTTTAAGATGGGGGTGTCACTGCTAGGGGTGGTGTTGGTGGTGGTTATGATGATTGTGATGATGATGATGGTGGAAGTGATAATGGAGTTCTGGTGGTTTTAGATTCAAGGCCTTAGACACCCTGTCCTCTTGTTTTTTTCTTTTATCAAAAACATGTCTGGTACAAACTTAGACAGTCACTTATCTGTTGATATTCTGGGAATAGGCGTTACTTAGTACAAAACAAACAAACACACATTGCTTTTGCCTGAGACATTTTCCATTTCTTGTGAATAGGCAAGTTTGGTTGAAGCTGTGAATAATCATTGAGCCACTTTGCTTTAGTTAAGAGCATTTTCTATTCTTTGTGATTAGAAGTCAGACCTTTAATAATCGGAGGACAGAATACAAAAAAACAAAAGAGTGTATGAACCTGCTTTTTCTCACTGGAGCTGCTTTGATTGACAGGTAACAACCTGGATTTTCACGTTGTCATTGCTCTAGCCTCGATTGATTTCCGCAGTAGAAGTTGGATGCTTTTTTTGCCGTGTTTCTACGTCATTACTACAGACAGAATAAAGAAAGCAATGCAATATTATTTAAAGATACAGTTAGTTTAGATTACAGATGGCTTCAAAGTTAGGCACCTGCTGGAGGACTCTTATTTTGAAAGCTCTATCAGTTGTCGTGAAGTTGTTTCAGAGTCGTGATGGAGGGCTCTTACTGTGAAAGGCTTGGGAGTAATGTAGTTAGGGCGCTCTTATTGTGAAGTATCCTGAAGGTGACACATGCAGTGTAGCAGTGGTTGTTTTTCTTTTACTCACATTACATTCAGTTTTTGCCTGTTTGGGACTTGCTTATCTTTTCTGCTTTTGACTGTAGAAGTGCCCACATGTACAAAATGCCTTTCAGATCAACACACACACACACACACACACACACACACACACACACACACACACACACACACACACACACACACTCAGTGCATAACCTTGCTGTTTCACATTGCTCTCTCCTGTGGATTGATGTCGATTCTCGAGCACAGCGACTATTTCTCCTACAGACTGTTACTGAAAACATGTTGATTATGTTTCTGCTCTCACTGATGTTTTATATTTTATTTGTTTTATCAGCAGTTTTAATGTCTCTAGCGGCACCTAACTTAATTCAGTGGTTTCATTTTTTCTGTAACGTGTTTGACATTGTACAAAGTGGTTGCATAAAAACAAAACAAGGATGAATGAATGAAAGAAAATCAAAAAGATACATGTAGGGAGTCATCGGCAGCCTTTCAAGGTATGTTTTGCACTAAGTATAGAGTGTTCAAGCTTCATATTAAAAAAAAAGTTTGCGCTTTGCGCTACAAAACAATGAAATTTGTTACTTTATTTGTAAAAACTTAATGAATAAAAGTTGTTCAAATGAATCGGAGTGACTGGACTTTCAATCAGTATGAAGATAGAAGTGAAATGAAATAATATCTCTGTGCTCATTATGTTTTTAATATCTTTTTTTCACAGGCTGCTGCGTCATGATGAACGAGCAAAATATAGGAGATGTGGACAGACAGGTACACAGTGACACAGACAGTTAGAGCTGGAACACCACAGAGGAGAAGCTTCTCCTATTTCTTATTTCTGTTTAGAGACTTTTCAAGACATTTCATACAACGGTTCTACACATTGAAGTGCAGTTTCATTCTTTGTTATAATAGACTTACAAATGGTTGAAATTTCTGTAAATATAAAAGAAAGAATATTAAATGAATCATCTTGACAGCACTGTGTTAAAAGAACATTTTAAAGAGTTTTAATATTACGTTTATAAATCCTAATTGAAGTCAGTGTCGTTTAAATGGTTTTCAGCAGTTCTAGTTATTTTTCATTATTCATAATTTGGGATTAGATAAAGCATTCAAAAGGCACTAGGCACTAAAATTAGTAAAGTTACAGCGTTCACCAAGTGGTAAGGAATGACCTCAGAAATTAATTGCAAGACACTCTGAAACATTTTGGAATCATAAATATTTGATAGTAAATTGTAGATTTACTTTAAGGTTTAATAGTATTTTATTCTGCAAGAGAACCCAAAAGTCAAAGTACTAAAAATGGCTCAATCAGGCTAAACTGAGCACAAGTGTTATCAAAAGTTTAACCCGGCTCAGATCATCACTGACAGACGCAGTTGTTTTGTTGCAGTACCTGTCCTGTCCACAAGGCTGCAGCACCCATCTTCATTAACTTCATTGCATTTATTGGTCTTTGTCCTGTTATCCAGATTTATTGAAAAGTGTCTTGCTTCAAAGCCAATCAGGATACAGCTCGTTGTGAGGTGTGAATCTGGACTTCCTATCCGTCCCCATGGAAACAATGAAAACAACAGTCAGCGCAGAGAGAAAGAGGTCAGAGGAAGGAAGGGGGGGGGGAGGAAAATGAGACTTAGTGGTACACTACAACAATAAATTTCCATCATGCAGTTTTCCTGCTATGATATGAATACTGCTCTGAAAGAAATGACACACCTTTGGATTAGATTTGAATAGGCTTTGTCAAAAAGCTTTTCTTCAAGTTAGTTAATGCTATTTATTTGGAATTATTTAATTATCAGTAACACAGATGTAAACTCTTCCTGCTGTATTTAATAATAAATTATGTTTAGTCGTGCATGGCCTGTTGTGAGGTTGAAAAACTGGAATATAATTCTGATATTTTTCATAATAGTCTTTTTTTTCTTCACAGTTTAGTGCTTGATGTGCAGGCGTCTGTCACCCACAGCCAAATACAGGGTTTACAGGTGAACCCCTGTAGAGATGTTCAATTTCTCACGTGTAGTTTGCAAATGTCTACATATCTATCTGTCTGTCATAAAGGCTTCTCTGTTCTGTTAGATTCAGTCGAAAGTAAAGATCAGATGGGTTGCACAGAAAATGTGACAGGCTGAGTGAAACCAAACACACAAGTTCAAACACACAGTTTCCTGGATGACCTACAAATTCTCACATCCCCCTTTTACTACACACCTCAAACATACTGTGTCAGAGATGGCTCATTTCAACTCCTGTTTCATAAGTGCGTGCTTTCAGGGCCGATAACGATGTTTGACATAACCATTTAGCCGATTCCAATACAGATGTTTGTTTCATGACTTCTTTTGGAGTGAGACTCCCCACAATGCCACTCTTTTCTCTTATAGTTGACAACGAAAACAAGCCAGAGGTCTTTCAACAGGTACGTGTACTTCATCTTTTGCACTCGTTTACCAAAACGTGTGAAATGTGCCTGAATGAATAAGAAATTATAATCTGTTGTGGAAAACAAACTAACTGACCAGACATTTGAACTTAATGTTTTGAAAAAGTATTTAAGAATGTAGCCAAAATGAACAAGAAAAACTTTAATATGTAAGACACAGATTGTAGAACAGTTCAATTCCTAGTGTGTGCTGGGACATTTGGCTGCAGCTAAAACCAATTGCAGTAAAATAATTTGTGTAAATACAGACAGTATATACCTGTTTTGCTTCCCATTTTTGCAAGAAACTACCGGCATCCAGGCTCCTGTTTGGTTGGCCTGGGGACAAGAGTGACCTTGCTAACATCAGAAACGGAGGTGAATTATTAACAGTCATCTCAAGCACCATTAAACACTAAACGGAGCTAGAATAATGAATTTAAATATGATGTTCAATAAGACACCCTCACACAAACAGAACTACACATGAATACAGGACATGGACCCTTTAAGTTCTGTACACCGACAGACACACACTTGTTTACTTGTCTGAAGATGGACTGACTTACAGGAATGAGGGAATGAAATAAGTGATCAAGCTATTTTTAACCTTAAAGAGGAGAAAAGGACTTAACATAGGGACATAATCAGGTTAGAAAATCTGTTTTTATTTGTGTACAGTAAATGTCTCCTCCTTTTTATCCTGATGTCGTGACCAATTAGTGAACCTACATGACAAAGGCCTTGTCTCTATGGCAGCATGAAATGAAAAGACACCGTGACACAGTAAAAAAGAGAGAGGTGATGGTGAGGGAGAGAGAGGGTGACAGTATAAGAGGGGGGGTCTTCAGATGTCACATGTGTGGGAGATTGTACAAATGCACAGACGGCCGATGGAAAGAACAGCCAGCTCCCGTTCTCCAGTTTATGAAGATGTTACAAGAATGAACTTGAGAATCCATTTCAACAGCAAACAACCTCACCAGAAATTCAGGATATGCAGCGGAAAGTCAAAAATAAGAAACATTTGAGTTGAGTTTTGACTTTCTTGTTCTCACTAACTTTTACGTAAGGAGGCATAATATATCATATTTGTGAGCATGTTTAGAATCAAATATAAAAAAGGGAATGGCTGAAAAGATTGGTTTTCTTTAATCAACTTCATAATGTCAAAATATGTGGTGAAACTATGACATCACACGCTGTTTAATACTTCAGAATAAGTGTAATAAATGAAATAGGTTGTTGTATTGTATTGTGTGAGTAACCTTCAGACACCTCAACTGTTAGCGGAACAGAAATGGCAAAAATGATATTATCATAACAAGGCAACCTCCACTACACTGGTATCATTTAGCAAGGCCAACTACTGATTGTTCTAATATAAACTTAAATAAATACCTTTTACATAACCTTCAGCTGACTGAGAGTTTCCATATGGGCCTGATGAAGAACTGTGTGTGTGTGTGTTTACTAAACAGAGGTCACTCTTGCATTTCTTGTCCCTTCAAAAACACTCTCAGGGTTGCCTGATAGTTTACATAGTAGTGGTTGGTGGCGAATATAAAATAGATTTAATCTCTTGACGACTGCATTTCATTTTAAAAAGATATCTTTCACTATATTTCACCGAGGCATCTGAAGTATAAAGTGGTAATAGTTCCTTAAGCTTCTTCTTGCTTATTAATATATTATTTTACCAATTCAAATATTTTCTTTCTCACTATGAATGAAGCGTTTAACCTTAAAGTGCAGCCGGACTGTGACTTGGATGTTCATGCTGACTTGTGATAAAGGTAAATACAGGTTTAGTTCTGACTTTGCTTAGGAGCACTGATAAGGGTTTTAGGTTGACAGGGCTTTTGTTTGACTTATCAACATTTCTCGTCTAAGTATCATTTTAAGTTTAAGCTTAGTTCACTTGTGTCTCAGGGTGTAAATTGAGGTTAAAGCATTACATAAAAGAAGTGGACAGAAGTGACTTAACCCTGCATTCTTCTTAATGGCAAGCAAGGAACGACTGCACTGTTTACAAAAATATTTTTAATTTTATAAAGCAGATGAGAAAATGACTCTCCCTTATTACTGATTTATTTCCTCAAGTGACATTATCCTCATAATCATATTGTCTCAATCTTTATGTTGAGTCTTCTTCCATACAGTGTGATGTTTGTTTTGTAAATAATGGTCTTTAGTCTCGCCAGGGACAGGGGATGCAAATTAGCCACAGCTAGAAACCTGTATGCAAGTCGTTTGTATTTTAGATATGAAGCAATGGAATAAACACATAAATACAGTGAAATAGATCATATGTATAGTATGATGTTCTTTAGAGCATGCTATCTGTGATTAACAAGATGCAACCCCAGCACCTTGTCAATATGGTAGAGATGTAACAACGTGAATCTACCTTCTTCTGGTGATAGAAAAGATGTGGCTGGCCAAAATGTCAAACAGAAGGATTGAAAATGATACTAGGATAATCATAATATAAGACAATTAATAAGTATTAGGTGCATTTTATTGTTGAAATATTAGGTTCAAATTATGTTGAAGATACTAGCTTCTGTGTGTTTCATCATGACACACAGAAAACAAAAACTAATGACCAGATTGTTTACAGTGTTGGATTAATTTGAAGGATAATACCATCCCTCCCCTTATGATGATGTTGCAACCTCGCTGTGCTTGGTGTAATCATGGAGCACAGGCTGCAGGTATGCGCTGGGCGATGTGGGCTCCTGAGTCAGAGCTGGTTTCAGCCCGCAGTGTTTCCTTTGGCTTGGAGAGCAGCTTGGTCCGTTGACGCGGCCCTGCTTAACATGTAGACGAGGTTTTAGTGGTGCACAAGTTTGTCTGCAGGCCGAGTGTTGGTGTCTGAAGTTGTCTGTGTAGAGGTGTGTTTGCGTACATTTGATTCTAAATAAGCATCATCTGGTAGATGACGTATTTTTTTTCCGTCCACATGTGGCTGTGACAGTGTGTGTTCTTGTTCCGTGTGTGTTTGTTTACATCAGCATGAAAGGAGTTTGTGTGTGTTTAAATAGACCAGGGGAGATGGAGTGTAGTTGAACACAAACAAACACTGTGTATCTCTATATACATCAGCCTCCGTCACCCAACAAGAGGCTCAGCACTTTGGTCTCCAGGACGACACTTTGTCCTGCCAAAGCGCACTTGTGCAAGTAATTGAACC